TCAGGAAGCTGAGACAGGAGGATCATGAGTTTTGAGGTCATCTTGGGCTACACAGAAAAACAAGATAACCTTCACGATCGCTGGCATAAGTAACCATAACATAAAATGCTTCCAAAACAAAAACCCTGTTAGTGAAGAGGTCTTGTTTGGCATTTTTGTGAGACTAATGTCTAGATTCTCATGTCTATGCCTGCATTCAATCTTAAGATATCACACGTCCCATAAGCATTAGAAAATGCAGTACTTGAAAACAAGTGAGAGTGAACAGTCAAACATGTTTATGAAAGTGTTTTTACTTTGCAGAGTCTTTGAAAGGGGTGCTAGGGAATCCTGAGGTCTTCCAGACCACATCTGGAAAACCAATGATCTAATCCACAAGAAAGGGATAGAATCCTACTGAATGGTTTGGAAGTCCAGGGAGGGGGAAGTTGAGCATGACTTAGAGAACCCCCAGATTTGTCCCACACCCCACAGAAATTCAAGAGGGCTCAATTAGATTATTGTTGACATTCCTTCTAACTCATACAGTTCTACATGTGGCTTCACTTTATTCTTGAATGACTGGGGATCAAACCAAGGCCTTGTACATGCAAAGCACTGAGCTACATCTCCAGTCCCCCACACACCTTTTTGAGGTAGGGTTTTGCTATGTAGCCCAGGCTGGACTTGAACTCACAGGCTTCTGAGTGTTGAGATTACAGGTGTGCACTACTGTGTCCAGCTTCTGGCTTTAATTCAACAGGTGGATACCACATACCTACTGTAGGGTAAGTTCCCAGAGAATACAAAGTTGAAAAGATGTCCTTGCAGTCACAGAATTTATGTTTACTTGGTTTCTGGGGGCCATGTTGGTACAGCAAGGCCCACTGCCAAGTCTCTTGAAATGGCCTCAAGCTTGCAGGTATGGGAGAAGGGCCAATTTCCACTTCCATCTGAGGGGTCAGATGCAGTCCATGGTTCCTGCCCTCTGGGACCAGTATGTTGAATGGTACCCCATTTGGCATTTAAGGTCCCTGTCATCCTGTCCACCTACCTGCCTTCTATAAATTGATTCACTCCCTGCTTCTACCTCCTTGTATGATCACGGCCTATGTCCCTAGCACTCAGCTTTAGTTTTCATATTGTTTGAAATCTGGATATCCTGGGTCCTTCCTGACGTCTCCTGCACTGACCTCTGTCTCTGCAACTGCTGCCTCTGTCTCCAAAGCTTGAGGTCCCCACTTTGCCCACTTAGCCTTCTCACTGATGTCTCTTTCTGACCCTCTTCTTTGCCAAGGTTAAGCTCTCTAAAGTGCCATTAGCCTATCTTCTCAGATTCTCAATCCCTGCCATTCACTGGCTGCTAATCCTCCTGCTGTCCTGAAAACTACTTCAAACCCAGTTCACCACCAACCATTTTCTTTCTTTTCACTCACTGCCAAACTTGTCAAATGAATAGCAGAGACCTGCCATCACTGTTCCTGTAAACCACTGCATGTTCCCTGTCTCCTTACCCTGCAGAATGGAAGCCCTGAAAGCAGGGTTTTTTGAGTTTTGCTTACTGCTGAATCCTCAGCTACTAGACCAGTGCCAAGCATCAAGCAGCCCTCAAATAAGGAATGAATGACTTGTCTTCTCCCAGTATACTGAGAGCTCCCTGAGGACAGGGGTGTTTTGCTCATGTAGCCATAGTGCCTAGACACACATATTTATTGAATTAATGAGTGAATCCAGTTGCCAAGTAAGTTATTTTTTAAAGTTGCTTTGTCTGGTTACTATTGTTTGCATTGTTTTTTTGCATCTGCCCTTTCTGTTGTCACCTCACACCTGGGCTTCAGCCATAATGTTTATAGCTCTGTAGGTGAAGTCTAGCCTGCGTGCTTGTGCCACATTAGTTTGCCCAAATAATATTCTGATACAGCTCCTCTGCTCCGAAACTCCAGGACCCGCCCCCCGCCCCCCCATTGTAGTTTCTAATGTACAAACAGGCGATGTTGCAAAGCTCATCTGCAAGCTGGCTGTTCAGACAATAGAACAAAGTTTCCCATCCATGGAACATTCTGATCAGGTCACACAAAGTTTACATATAATATACAGTATATGTATGTATGGAGAGAAAAAGAGGGAGTCTTAACAAATGTTACCGAGTTGTGGAGTTTGTTTTTGTGTGCAGGACTGGGGTTTAAACTCAGGGCTCCATGCTTGCAAAGCAATTGCTCTACGGTTTGAGCCACGCCTCCAGTTCGAATCGCAATTTAAGTAATGTAAAATAATGTTTCTAGGGAAAAATGTGCAGAGAGATTCATTTTGGGATGTCTGGCACATGTCCTAGCCTTAGGGAATTCCCTTCCAAGCCAAAATTAATGATTCTCAGCCGCTGTGACAGCAGCTGTCTAAATGCACCTGACATTCAAAGCCCTGACATTCCAGTGTCAGCATGAAACCTTTATGTTGAAATCTTCTCCCCATCATTCTAGCTAACAGTGATAGCTTTTCCCCTCTGGAGTCTAGGTGGCTTATTTGACAGCTGTTCTATCTACTATATTATCATGTATTTTTAATTTCTCATGAGTATGTCTTAACTCTGATGAGACTAAAAACTCTTGGCAGAGAGGGAAAAGACTATATTCTTACATCCTCTACAACCCATGGCACATAATAAATAAATAGTTACTGAATAAATGGAGGAATGAATGCCTGTTGTGTTCCGGATGATACACACTGAAGCACGACCGGAAATCTCATTTTTGTAATTGTCAGTTTTGCTTTACTCTCCCACAGTATCTCAGAGCCCTAATACTAACAGGCTGCCTTGGAAATGTGAGACTACAATAGGAAATGGCTCAAAATAGGAAGGGGACACAGTAAGATGACCTTAATTAACATTAGTTACAGTTTTTCACAGGTCACTTACAAACATTTTCACATCTGCAGTATTCTGTGAAGAAACTGGGGCTCTGAGACAGTGACATAATTTATCTGAAAGCTTTTCTGGGGTTGAACCAAGATTTCAAAGTTGGCATTGAAACTGGAATCTTTTCTACCCCAGAGTAGTTGTGAAGATGAGGTACAGTGACCTACTGCCTCACTGGCTGAGCAGGGCAGTGTTGAGAGCCACTCTGAGGCTTCTTTCTTCCCATTCCGAAAACTGCTATGTCAAAGGGGTTGGCACTACCCTCTCCAGACCAACAAGGACTTTTGAATCAGAATATGAAGCCCGGGCGCTGGTGGCTCATGCCTGTAATCCAACTACTCAGGAGGGAGAGATCAGGAGGATTACGGTTCAAAGCCAGCCCGGGAAAATAGTTTGAGAGACCCTATCTCGAAAAACCCCATAAAAAAAATAGGGCTGGTGGAGTAGCTCAAGGTGTAGACCCTGAGCTCAAACCCCAGTGCTGGAAAAAAAAAAAAAATCACTCTCCAGCCAGTCTTTAGATTCCATGTTCCCTGACATGCCACACTGATATCTTTGTTGGTGGAAAAACTCAAAATTTGAGTATTTGAGTCAGACACTCCACTGCTGTTCAAAGATCTTGCTTGCAACATTGTTTATAATCACAAAAATTATGAACTGCATGGATATCTATTAAGAGCAGAGTGGTTAAGTGACAGGTACAACCATCGGAGCACAGGGCCATGGGACAGTCACAGAAGAATATTGTGAAAGAGAAAAAGCAAGGCGCACACTTAGATGTTTGTACAAGTATAGGAAACTCATGGAAGGGCATTTATACATTCAACTACATTTGTTAAGCATTTTACGGTATCCAAGAACTTACTAGCAGAGGTTACTTGGGAGGAGTGGTTCAGAATGAAAAACTATTTTTTAAAAAAACTTAAATCACGAGGTTTTTTTTTTTTGGAGGCACTGGGGTTTGAACTCAGGGCTTCAGGCTTGCTAGGCAGGCGCTGTTACCGCTTGAGTCATTCCGCCAGCCCTGAGCATTGCTGTTTTACAAAGTGAAAGAAAAGAAAGTCTGACAAAATTAAGTAGCACTGCCCAATAGGTGCTTGACTGGAAAGGGGCAGGGTTGTAAGAAACAGGTGAAAGGGAACTTAATCTCTGCAGCTCTACGTGAGCACGCGTTCAGATCTAAACGGTAGCGCTGGTAGGAACTCACTCTAAAACTGAAAAACCTGGGGTTGGGGCGAAACTAGGTACCGCTCAACTTCCGGCGCCTCCCTGACCTCACGATTTTGAGGTGTGCACCTGTAGGTGGAGTGCAACGGGACCCGAGGGAGCGGCCCCTTTCCGTGTCCAGGCTGCGTCTTCCTCCCTGGGTCACAGCTGGACGGGGTCAGAATCTGGAACTACCCTGCCCATCGAACCTAGGTCACCACTCGGGCTCCACGGGTCTCAGACCTGGGATGTGGTTTTAACCGGCGTCAACTCAAGGCCAGTCTTTAACAGCTAACGCCAGCAGGCGACTCCTGTCCTGTGGATCCCCAGGCCCAGGACACGGGGATAGGGGTGGGGGACCCCGAGTCAGCACCGCAAGGCGGCGTAGACACAGCAAGGGGGCGGAGAGCCGGCGCCTTCCACCGCCTCGCAGGTCCGCCGGCTGCGTCCGAGACTCCGACTCCCGAAACATGGGGCTCAGCGTGAGCCCCGCCCCCCGGTGCAGCGAGCCTGTCATTTCCTCTCCGGCAAGTGCGGGTCTGAAGATGAGGGATCGAGAACGTCCACGGAGGGGGTTCCTCAGGCACCCTCGGCTTCTTTCAGTTACAACTGGACAGTGGTTCAGTTCCACAGGCCCTCAGGACAGCGGGCAGCAGCAGTAGGGAACCCCCGCCCAGCAGACGCGAGGAAGACTGGCCCGCGCCAGCCGGGGCTTTGCCAGGGCGCGTGCGCATGGTGCGTACGCGAGGAGGGCGCGGCCGCCTGGGGTTGCGCCTGCGCAGAGGCGGCTCCAGGCGCTGCGCCTGCGCAGTAGTGGGGCGGGGCGGGAAGAAGGGAGGCGGTGGCACCGGCGGCGGCGGCTGCTGCTGAGGAGGAGGAGGAGGAGGAGGAGGAGGAGGAGGAGGAGGGGGAGCGGAGGGAGGTGTTTCTGTCAGTTCCGGCTGTTTGTTCGGGAAGTGGAACCGCCGCTGCCGGAGCAGCCCGGAGGGAGCTGCGGATCGCGAGGCCAGTACCGACCCCGCCCGCCCGCGCGCACCGCCCCCGCCCGCCATGGCCCGGGACTACGACCACCTCTTCAAGCTGCTCATCATCGGCGACAGCGGTGAGGGCCGCAGCGGTCGGAGGCGGCGCGGGCCCTGCCGGGCGCGGCCCGCGGGGGCCTCAGGGCGGGCGGGGAGGTGCCGGCCCGCGCGGGGCGGGAGGCGGGCGGGCGGGGCTGCCCGGCGGACCGGGCCGCGGGGTTGGCGCCGAGGGGCTCCGGGCCGCGCCGAGGGGAAGTCAGGACTCCGGGCTGCGGAGCAGAGGGGCCGAGCACTCGGGGTCCACTCCCCGCGCCTGCCTCACGTGTGAGTGACCTTGGTCCAGTCGCGCGATCTCCGAGTTGTAGAGACCTAGGTTCGAGTCCTGGGACTACTAGCTGCTTCACTCTGTGACCTTGGGCAAGTTGCTTCACCTTTCTGAGCCTCAGTTCCTGCATCTGAGAAGTGGGGACTTGCCTCGCTGGGTAGTGGGAGATCAAGTGGGCAAGTTGCTTAGAGCCTGACCTAGAGTAAAGTAAGCCCTAAGTAAATGTTCACCATTGTCATCATCAGTACTGTTTGTAAGACTCACTCCTCTGTAAAACGGGGATATTCCCAGAACGTGCTGTGAGTTTAAATGTGGTAAGGAAGGGAAAGCGCTTCCCCACGGTCCTGCAGAATTACGAAATCTCTGCATGGTTTAGTTTGCTCATCTGTAAAATGGAATAATAGTAGGTCCTTCTCATAAGGCTGATGTGAGTATTCAATGAGGATAGTACACACATAGTGTTGGGAACAGTGCCTGGCCCACAGCCTGTGGTCAGTGTTTGCTATTGGCCTACCATATTCCAGAGGGGTGTTACAGGTGGCTCAGCCAACATTATAAAAGTGTTTTGGCTATATATACACACTCCTTGAGGCTCCTAGCTCAGATCGCTGCACCATCTCCTGTTCATAGAACAGTGCCTGGCACCCAGGAAGTGCTTAATATGTATTTGGTGAATGAATGAACATCACCTGTCCTTACAAAAGACAGACTGGTTTGTGACAAAGGATGGAGGGTTTTAGAGGTGTTTGGAGTATGGCAGGTGAGCAGGTTTATGGGGTGACCAAGAGGTCAGGAAGGCAGGCCCCAGAAGGTTTATGGGAGCATAACTGAGGTACTGGGATTATATGATATCCAGGAAGGAGGCTTGGGAGCAGCTAAATTTATAGACCAGACCTGAGCTGAATGTGGGGGAGAGGGTCATGTGACTGGAAGACAGTGGCCAGATTGGTGGTAGAGCCCATGAATTGTTAAGGACCAAAGCCCTTGTGAGTGAGACCCAGGATGTAGGAGTGTTGGATGGAGGTGGGTAGTTTTTGGTTTCACTTGTGAAGTTGGATTGAGATGTGGTTGGTGGTTTGGATCAGGTGGAAGGTGGCTGAGGATTCGGTGGTTGCAGGTGGTGAGGAGATGTAAAGGGTAAAGAGCTAACCAATAAGTTGGAAGAGTAACTGTGGTTGGAGCAGGAGTTAGGTGGAGGATTGATTGGTTGTGGTTTGGATGAAAAAAATCAGGGAAGGTGTGTAGTCTTTCACTTGGATGTGGCCTTTGTTATCCCTCAAAGTCCTGAGATTATGCCTTCTCAGAATTTGCTTTCTGCTGTGGCCTTGGTTTGGAGCGGCAGGCACTAGGATGATTTTTCTCCTTTGGAGTTAAAGTGAGCTAGCTGACTTTATTCTTCTGCAAGACACCTTGGGCCTGTGTGTTGATATCCAAAAATGAAAGGCCTAAACTCAGCAAGAAAATGCCGTTTGTTGGTTTTTGTCCCTCACGAAATCCAGGGGATGGTTTTGGCCTGCTTTCTCACAGTGCATTCCGCATTTTTTATTGATTTTTCACTCAGAAGTCAGGTGTGGGAGAAGACTCCTTGGGTCACGATTTATGTGCTCTGTTTCTTAGTTTAGTCTGAGCATGGAGACCTGAGTTTTGGAGAGGAGATAGATGCTTTGCTGTTAGATTTCTCCCAAGAGTGAGCTGATACTTTTAGGAGAGTGGGAGATGGTAGCCATGGGAGTTTAAACTAAGCTTTGCAGCTGAGCAGGGAACCTGACCTCATCACTCCCCTGCTTTCCAGCCCCTTGTGTGTGTGCCTCCTTAAGGTATATCAAATGATTTCACAGCACTCTCTCATCTGATTCTCACCCATTGCTTATGCAGTTTGTCAAATAAGGAAACTAAGGCTCAGAGGAGGTGACTGGCTTGTTAGACGCAAAGCCAGGAGTTAGTGTACATCTATGCTGAGAGCAGCTGGCATTGGGCTGGCAAGCAGTAGGCCTTCAATGAATGTTAGTGTCCTATAAATCTGGAGTTCTCTTCCCACTCTGTCACATTGTACACGCTTCTGGAATATATTCCTTTGGCTTTTGCATTTCTTCTTTATGCCTGAGGTTCTGCACTTTCTCTTATGCTCTTTTGACATTGTCTCTTGATTTGTAACCACATTCATCTGCAATCCATTCCTGAAGGCTAGAGTGGCCATTAGAGACCTTGTAAAGTCCATCATTTACAGTTGAGTAAACTGAGGCTGCGGGAGAAGGTGGGGGGAAGGTGTCTTGTCTGAGGTTGCACAATGAGGTAGTCGATGAGATAGAATTAAAATTGAGACCATTTGTGACCAGGAGCGATGGCTTGACCTATAATCCTAGCTGCTTAGGAGGCAGAGATTGAGAGGATCATGGTTTGGGGCCAGCTGGGACAAAAAGCTCAAGAGACCTCATCTCAGCCCATGGCTGGGCATGGTGGTGCGTGTCTGTTATCCCAGCTATGAAGGAAAGCATGAATAGCAGGATACTGGTCCAGGCTGGCCAGGCATAAAGCGACACCCTATCCCCAGAGCAGAGTGGCTCGAGTGGAGGCCCTGAGTTCAACCCCCAGTACCACCAAAAAAATAAAAATAAAAAAAATAAAAATTGAGACCAGTTTACTTGTGTCTGCACCAGACTGAAACTGAAGCAAAGAGGAGTGAGGGGTGTGTGGCCCAAGGGAGAAGCAGAGCCAGGGGAAGGTTTTGTGTGGCTGGCATGGTGAGGACCAGAGGCAGCACATGGGGAAGGGCAGTGTGGTGGTGGCTCAGTGTGGTGTCTTCTGGCTGCCAGGAGAGCCTGGGGCCTGTGCTCTTTGCTTCGTTGGAGATAGTAGGGCTGGAGTGGCAGGCTTTTATGCTGGATGTAGCCATGTGGTTATAGGGAAGCTTTGCTTCCCTTTGCTTCCGTGACCAGTGCTATAAGGAGACTGGTAGCAGGGATAATGGGAGATGGTGGATCTCAGAGGTTTCTGTTCCTCTCGAGGGAGAGCAATGTTAGAAGTTGGTGTCAGGCCCATGACAGCAGACCATGTGGCAACTCGTCTTTGTGCAGCCTAGTGGTTTTCTGCTGCTCTGCAGAGGAGCCTGGGATAAATGGAGGGGACACTGCTGTGTCATTACAAACAGCACTTCCTCCTTGTCTGTTATATGAGATTTAAATAAAATTTAATTTTAAAAAAGGATTCTGCTGTTTCCTCCCCTCAATAAAGTTTGAAAGCCACTGCTTTGGCTCCTGTTAATGCTGCAGTAATAGCATTAGATAGCATAGCTGTCAGTGAGCTGGGCATTTATTCAGCCATCAATTCATAAGGAGTATTTCATTGGCGCCTACTAAGTGCAGGGCCCAGCTCACAGCACTGTGAATGCACAGGGTGAGTGAGTCCTGGAGGGACTTAGACAGGAGTTTTTAGCTGAATAAGCAGGACCCAGAAGCCACCAGGAGGAAGCAAGGATGCAACAGGGCCAGTGGGGTGCTGGCTTCAGGCAGAGGCTGAGGACCCAGCTCAGAACTTGGGCTCTCCTTGGGCTTAGCAGGAAGCCTCACGGCAGAGCAATGAGGAAGTGGCACAGGCTGAGTAACAGGTGCCCTGGGCACAGCACCTGTCTCCTGCAGAGGGCCTCATCCCCAGCATGTCCTTGGGAAGGTAGAACCTTGGTGTATTCAGGGGAGTAAGTTCTGGGCATCTTGCTCACTTAGAGAAGTCTCCAGAGATCCTGAGAGGACTGCCCAGGGAGGATGTCCGAGGTTAGGTTAAGAGACACACAGCTGGGCTCAGTCTGCAGCCGTGGTTTGCAGCATTGGTTACTTGGTGTGGAGGTGGTGTCTTTGAAAATCAGATTAAGCTGTGGGCTTCTCCCACAATGGGCACAGATGCTCAAAAATTGCACATAGTTTGAGGGCATTTGACTGCATTTCCATTGAAAATCTAACAGGAGTGAGATGTAGAAGCCTCATGGGGTTGCTTCAGCCCCCGTCTGGCACAGGTGCAAGGAGACTCCCCAGGAGTAGGTATTGGGAGTTGTTGAGAGCCCTGGATTTGGATCTTGGCTCCACCACCTCCCGTGGAAACACCTGAAGTCAGCTGTTCAGCTTCTCGGAAGCTGCACCTTCCTCATCTGAGATGGATTTGGAATTCTGGAAGCATCGAAGTGCCCACCATGCAGACAGAACTCAATGCATCGTTAATCATTTCCCTCTGAGGTCACTTGACTCAGCTGGACTTACGGGTGGTGGAGATCAGGGGTGGGGCAGGTGCACTTGGCAGCCATAGCTGCTATGTGTTGAGGTCAGGGAGAGGCGAAGTTCACAAGGATTCCACCTTTTGTGGAATAAACAGCAAGGAGCTGCTGTGGCAAGTGCAGTGGTCTGAGCATAATACATGGGCTGGTGGCCTGATAGGTGTTCTGGAGACTCCTTGGCCCCACCCACTCAGCTGGCACTCCCTCAGCTGCAGGAAGATGGCTGACAGTGGTTCTAGTTCTGTGGGCCTCAGTTTCCTCACCTGCAGAATAGCCCTGGTGAAATCAAGGTGCTTTCCAACTCTCCAATTCCTTGTTTGGGGCTACTCTCAAACTGAAGCTGTGGCATGCAGTTCTCTAGGGCCACACTGTAGATGCACAGGGCAGGGGGTGGGCTCACCTGGTTGGCTTTTCTCTTGCCTGCCTCTGTTGTCTGGTATCTCCCTCCAAGCTGTTGGGGCAGCCCTCAGCACAGAGGCTTGGGCACAGGTCCCTCCTGTCATCTCCCCAGGGGATTTGAGAGCAGCTTCTGTTACACATGGATGAAGGAAAAGGTCAGGGATTGAGTGGAAGAGATGTGCTTGATGTGTGGCAGGTTGGGAGACAGGACACAGCCTTGAGAAGAGCTCTGGCCTTGCTGAGTTTATGGCAGTATCTCCTGGAGGAAGGACGGGCTGAAGGGAGGACTACTCACTACCTGCTCATCTCTGCGTTCTCTCCTGCAGGTGTGGGCAAGAGCAGCTTACTGTTACGGTTTGCAGACAACACGTTCTCAGGTGAGTCCTCCTTGGGTACTGGGGTGTTTTGGTTTTGAAATCCCCTCCCCGGGCTCCAGAACACACCAGCTTTTGCCCAATTTAGGGAACTTTTTCATTCTGATTACCAGAGGAGGATGGGAGGCTTAGGTCAGAAGCCTCTATTCTGCCTCAACCCATCTTGTTCAAAACGCTCTTCTGCTGCTCCTCATTTCTCTAGCCAGGGTCTCCTTGTGCCCAACATTAAAAAAAATTTTTTAAAATATTATTAGATAGTACATGCCTGTGTGACACTTCCAACAGGAAGATGTCAATGTGAAAAATCGTCCCTGCACCCAGCCCTCTGCTGCCCTGGGAGCCTCTGTTCAGTGTGGGTGTATCTTTCCTCTTTTTGTCACTCCACCTGCTGTTCAGAAACTTGGCTTCCTCTGTCTGCCAAGGGTCTTGCTTCCGCCCTGTTAGCCACAGACCTCCCTGGCTCTTTCTTGTGACTGTGTTCACTGTGCTGCATGTGGATGTAGCATTCAGTAACAGAATTCTTGTTATGTGTGTGGCTTCTGGCTGCTTCTGCGATGCTTTGTGTGTTTATTCTTGTACACGTGGTTCTGTAGAAGTGGGGTTACTGGGTCACAGGGTCTGGGACATTTAAACTTCCTCAGCACTGTCAGCTTACCTTTCAAAGAAGGTGAGGTAATTTACACTCCCACTGAAGGGTTGAAAGCTCTGATGAGCACTTCACTTTTGCAAAGCTGAGGCAGAAAGTGCTGCCTTGTTTACATTCGTATTTCCCTGATCATTGGTGAGGTCAAGGAGATTTCCTTTGTTAAATAAGTGTTCATTACATCAGCATCTCTGATTGGGGACTGAAGTGTGATTATCTTGTGGGGAATTCCCTCTGAGGTGGGGGGGCGGGGCAAACTACACTTAGGAAGAGGTTACATGGAGAATGCCTGTCAATGGAGAAGTGGTTTCACCCCTTCCTGCCCCCAGCAACTGCTCAGTAGCACCAATGGTATTGGAAAGAGCTGGCTTCTCTGTGTGACCTTGAAGGAGTGACTAAGCCTCTGCTCATTTGTAAAGTAGGAATCACCATTGTCCCTCTGACATGGGTTGTTGTAGGATCACCTGAGATAGTGCCTGGAATCAAGTAATTGCTCAACAAACACCAGTTGTTTGTTGTTACTGTAACTTCTGTGCAAGAATGACAGCTACTGGGCAGCCTGTACTTATGCTGGAAAACATCCCACTCCACTTTTTTTTTTTTGGTGGGACTGGGATTTGAATTCAGGACTTCATACTAGCAAAGCAGGCACACTACTGCTTGAGCCACACCTCCAGTTCATTTTGCTCTGATTGGTTGGTTTGTTTATTTATTGGCTATTTTTTGGAGATGGGAGGTCTCACGAACTATTTTCCTAGGCTGGCCTCAAACCTACAGCCTGCTAATCTCAGCCTCTCAAGTATCTAGGATTATAGGTGTGAGCCACCAGCACCTGGTCCACTTCTTCCCTCCCTTGCACCTCACACACACTTCCTTTTTAATGCTCCTGTAACTCCTTGACCCATCAGCTCTCCACTGCTAGGACTGTGATTTGCAGTCTCTGTAATGTTGATTACTGGTGTCTTAGCTCACTGTTGGTTCCCAATGGAAGCTTTGCAGAAGCTCCTACCCACCCTGCCCCACACTGCTAAGTGCATTTGGCAGCCATCTACTTTTCTTTTGTTTAAAAACCTTGATGGAGCTGGGTGCCTGTGGCTCACGCCTGAAATCCTAGCTACTCAGGGGGCTGAGATCAGGAGAATTGCAATTCAGAGCCAGCCCAGGCAAATAGTTCATAAGACTCTGTCTCGAAAAATTCATCACTGGCAGAGTGGCTCAAGATGTAGGCCCTGAGTTCAAGCCCTAACACCACAAACCAAAACCAAAACCACCCTCAGTGGCCCTCTCTGTCCTGAGCAGAGGTCATAGCAGGGCTTCTCTGTTTCCGACTATTGACGCTTTGAGCCCTGGAATTCTGTGTTGTGAGGCTGTCCTGTGTGTTGAAGGGTGTCAAGTAGCATCCCTGGGCTACCTCTACCTAGTAGATGCCAGTAGCACTGTGACAACCAAAGGTGTCTCCAGACTATGCTAAATGTCTCCTGGGGGAACAAAATCATCCCTGATTGAGAACCACTGGTTTTCATAAGCTATTTCTAGCCTTCTTCCTCATACTGCTCGCTCACATATTCATTCATTCAACCATCAGCCGTTTGTTAAGTGCCTAAATTCGAGGTGCTGGGCCCCTGGATGGGCACCAGGTGCTGGCTTGGTCTCTGGATGTGTTCTGGGTGAACTTTGGCCTCAGCTGCTTTCCTCTGTGTGGGATGCCTCTCCCCTCCTACCCAAAGTTTGGTAATCTTTCTTACTCTTTCAAGCTAGGCCCAAATGTGACTCCCCACCCCACTCCAAGTCTACCTTGATCGCCATCTCACCCTGCATTTTGACCTTTCCCACACAGTTGCCACACTTCACATGGTCATGTGTGTGTGTCTCCTGAACAATGGTGTGTGAAAGCTCCAAATGCAGTGAGACCCTGTGCTCCATTCGGTAGGTGTTTATAAGCCTGGACTAGACTGTTGCACTGGCCGGTCTCCTCAAACCCACCTTCTACACAGATGCCCCAAGAGTTGTTTAAAATGCAGCTCCTGTCCCTGGTGAAAACTCTGTGCCTCCCCAACACACACAAGAGACTGTCCAAATTCTCAAAAACGGCACAAATTGGGCTTGTCCTCACATAAGCCCATGTGAACCACTGCTATTCTGCTATTTTGCTACTGTCTTTTCAGCCTTGTGCAGTGCTTTCAGGTCCAGCTCAGTTTGTGTGTTAGGAAATCAATTTTGTGAGTCATTTTAAAAAATTTTATTTTTATTTATTTTTTGTCATACTAAGGATTGAACTCAGGACTTTGTGCTTGCTAGGCGGGTGCTCTACCACTTGAGCCACTCCCTAAATTTTTAATTTCTATTTTTTGGTGATACTGTGGTTTGCATTTAGGGCTTCATGCTTGCTAGGCAGGTGCTCTACTGCTTGAGCCACGCTTCCTTTACTTTTTTGCTCTGGCTGTTGTGGAGATAGTCTTGCTTTTTGCCTGGGCCAATCTCGCCCGTCACTGGGACAACAGGCATATGTCACCACTCCTGGCTTTTCCATTGAGGTGGGGATCTTCCAAACTTATGCCCCAGCTGGCCTAGAAATGCAATCCTCTCAGTCTCAGCCTCCTTCTTAGCTTGGGACAAAAGGCACGTGCCACCACACCCAGCTGTTGGTTGAGATGGGGGGAAGGTCTCAAGAATTTTTTGCTTGGGCTGGCCTTGAACTGCAGTCCTGATCTCAGCCTCCTGAGTAGTTAGGTGCCAGCTGCCTTAAATTTTTTAAAAAGAATAGAGTGGGGGGAGGAAACCCAGAGTGCATCATAGGCCTGTCCCATTCTCAAGTCACAGTTGACACGTCCCCACTGTGACCATTCTAGTAGAGCCTATCCCTCTTCCTCCAGTCACATCCTTTGTAGCATTTATCACTCTGAAATTGTCATCTTTTTCAGTTTACGTCATTGTGTCCTGCCTCACTTCCATTGTGAGCTCTATCAGGGCTCCTTGTTCAGGCTTTGTGCCTGGGGCCTTGGCCATGTTGGGGACAGAGGGTAGATGGGGTGGAGTCATGAAGTTCAGAGGTCCACCCAGTGCAGGCTCCCTGCAGGCCCTTGCTGATGGCTCCCATGCATGCAGGCAGCTACATCACCACAATCGGAGTGGATTTCAAGATTCGGACAGTGGAGATCAATGGGGAGAAAGTGAAGCTGCAGATCTGGGACACGGCGGGGCAGGAGCGCTTCCGCACCATCACCTCCACGTGAGTCCAGCCGAACGCCTTGCCTTGTGTGTTTGCATGCTCAAAGTTGGGTGACAGTGTTGCTCATGGGGAAGTGAGTGCGTGCTGGCCTCAGTGGGTGGTGTTGGCTACCCTTCCTCTTCCTGAAGATGCCAGAGGAGGTGGTGTGGCCTGCTGTGGCTGCTGCAGGAGTTAGGTGGGTGACAGTGGCTGACACCCTGATTCTGGTGTGTGGCAGGATAGCGACCACATGCCCTCGCCTTGGGCTGGCAGCGTTTACCTGAAATTGGCAAGAGCAGCAGCGTGCCTCACCAGGTGGCTGTGAAGTGCCGGTCCCAGGTACCTCTGAACCAGGCAGTTCCTCTTGGTGGGTGTCAGCTCTGTGTGGGTCACAGAGTGGGTCACCCTCTCTGACCTCTTGGAGGTGGCTGTGTCTTGGGAGGCCTGGGTATGTGGGAAGTCCTTCCTTTACCTCTCCCAAACTGTAGAGAGGGGAACCCATTGCCCATCATGATGTCCTCCTTTGCTATGGGAGAGCCTTTGTGGCTCTCAGCTGCAAACAAAAGGAAGCCCAGCTTCAGCTCTGAGTTTGGGTTCTTGGGTTGTTAATGGATGGATTATAGGAGAGAATAGGGTTTGAAGGGAGACAGCTTGGAATTTAAATGTCTGTTCTTCGGTGTGTCCTCAGGCAAGTTGCCTAAACTCTCTGTGCTTTTTTCCCAGAGGCTTTATTTTAGGATTTGCTTGTATGCTAGGGCCTGTGTCCAGGTCCTGCTTTGGGTTTTGCATGGGTCATCTTGGTGAACTCCTACCGCTGTCTGTACTCCGTGCTGCTGTGACCCCATCTTATAGATGAGGGCACTTCTGAGAAGGGGCTGCTCCCAGTGATGGCAGAGCATGCAGTGGGTGTAGAGTGAGGGTGGCGTCTGGCCTGTGAGCACCTCCTGGAACTTCTTGCAGAGCAGTTCCTCTTGGAGAACTCAGGAAGGCATGTGAGCAAGTCCCCAAGCCAGAGACCCCTGTTGTCCTCCCTTAGTGTCAAAGCAGAGTGCCCATCCTGAGGGTGGGAGTGTGAGGGCTGAGGTGGCCTCACGGTGGTGGGGGGAGCATAGCTATTGGCCAGGTAGGGAGGAGCATGTGGGCTGCACTGGGCAGGAAGGACTGTCGCTGTCAGCCCTGTGGTGAGCACAAGTGCCATGGCCCAAGACTTCCTAGCACAATGCTCTATGATGACTTTGAGCAAGGTCTCTCAGGTCCTGTGTGTCCTGGTTGGTGTGAGAGAGAACTCCTTGAAGCAGGACTGACATGGAGAGCTTCAGGCAACCTGGAGCCTACAGGATTGAGCAAGAGCTCCTTGTATTGGTTTGGGGTTGGCAGGTCTGGGCACTGATCCTATGTCCTCAATCTGGGCTGGGACTGTCACTAAAGACACCACCTACTTTATTTCACTTAATCTCAGTAAGAAGTCTTATGAACAGGCCCAGAGAGGAAAAAATGGCATCGCTTGCGTGCTTAGCCTAGAGCAGAACTGAGGTCTAAAGCTTGGATTTCTACCCAGGCCCTGGTCCTGTCCCCTGCCACCTCACACCCTGAGCCTGGGGTGGATAGCCTCCTTTAGTGCCTCCCTCCTGAAGGGTGAAACCAGTTTGGGGGTTCAGGGCGGTTGAGACAATAGGCCTGTGTCCACAGGATATACTTGGGGCAGGTCCCAAGTGGGACTGGGGTGTCAGGCCTTATCTGTAGGAGAGGCTCAACCACTCCCTGGTCATCAAGAGTCGCCCCTTTCAGGACTGGGTGGGGCGGAATGGCTCCTTCATTATGTGCGGGAGATTGGGCGTTGCTCAGCAGCCTGGGGGCCATGTCTCTCTTCTCCAGGATGCTTGAGAAACGGTGATCTGCATGCTGGTGGCCCGTGGGCACTTACTTGGCCTCCACTGCTGTCCTCCCTGTCTGTCTGGGGAGGCCAGGGGCAGCCCCATTTTAGAGTCTCTTGGCCCCTCCTGAGGCAGGAGGCACTGTGAGGGCCTGAAGAGGGAGAGACTTGTTGCTGGTGAAGGAGGGAGTGCTGGGGCAGTTGCGAGTTTGGGGATGGGGCAGCCCATGCTGAGAAGCTGGCCTTTTCTGATCCACTCCATTGAAAGAGAAAGCACAAGCAGCCTGATGAGAGAGCAGCTGTCCCTCTCCAGCCTTGCTCTCTCTCCATGGGCAGCTGAGGTCTGCTGACCTGAGGGTGGCGGTGGGAGGAAGGTGTAGAGTAAAAGGAAGAGGGAGAAGTGATGAGAACAGGAAGCTTTGGCACTAGGTCAGGGAGTTACTTAGATCTGGGCACTAGAACTTCCAGCCAGTCACTCTACTCTCAGACTCAGTGTTCCCACTGGCAAAATGACCATGGTGGTTTCCGTCGGACTGCGTTGTTGTGAAGATAAATATGAGGTAGTGGATATGGAGTGCTTGCACTGTCTCCTGACCTGGAGCACAGGTCGAGTGGGAAGCCTGAAGCACCAGTGCTGGCCGGCCAGAGCTTCGCTCAGATGAAGCCCCTGCCCTGGCCCAGCACAGGTGGAGGTTCTGAGGCTTTGTGCTGGCGGGGGGCAGGGGGTACCATTTCTGCTAGCAGGGGACATCCTCCTCAGAGATGGGTGATGAGCTGGTGCTCCAGTAGCAGCTGCCAGAGGGTGAAGGCTGGGGCTGGTTCCCAGGCAGAGCCGAGATGGGTAGAATTGTTTGGCTTCACCATAGCTGAGGAGTGTTGCAGGCCTGGAGCAAGGCTATGGGCAGAAAGAGCCCTGGGAGATGACCATGTGTCTGCGAGGGGGGAGACATGGGCAAAGCCCAAGCACAGCAGCAGCTCCTCTCATCTCACTCTGTGGCCTCCAGGGTTGCCCTGCCCTGCTGCTTCTCGGTTTCCTGCCACCTCTGTCTGGGACTCCAGCTTGTCATGGAAGGGACACTAATAATGATAATAAAGAACGCCCAGCACTTGGGGTGCCTGTTATTTCCTCCATTCCTCGCAGCCACCCCAAGAGATAAGTATGAGCATCCTTGTTCTGTGGTTAGGGAAACTGAGGCATGGCAAGGTGAAAGCGAGACCTTCCCAAGGTCCACAGTCTTTTAGAGATGGAGCCAGGTGTTGACCTTTGTCCTTAGATGGGCCTTTAAAGTGAAGAGGTGGCCAGAGAGCTGGCACACAGGCAGATGACAACGGAGCTATTCTCACCACCTGGTCGCTGACCCTGGCTTAGTCTGTGGTGCTCTGTGCCATTGTAGAGCTGGGGCTCCAAAGAAGCTGCTTTCTGGGCAGGGCAGGTGGGAGCCAGGGGTGGGAGTGGCAGCCCGTCTCCTCAGGTTTGCATCCTGGGTGTTTTGAGAAGCCCCTGATTGAGAATCTGCATCTTTGGGGAGCAGGCTACAAGGGATGGCACTGGGGTTCTGTAGTGCAGGGCAGGGGTCCTGTGAAGGGGCTCAGGGAAGCAAAGCCCCTGCCATCCTGTTCTTCCTGGGCTGGCTGTCCCTCACCTGCCCCTGAACTGAGTGGGGACGCAGTCCGCTACTCTGGGTACCGGGTGTGTGGAGAGGAATGCTGACAACCTCCTTCCTTCCAGCTTCCAGAACTTCTAGCTGGCTTGGGGTCTGCAGGTTTGGATGGTGGTGTAGCTGGGTGCCTCCTCCAGCCATCCTGGAGGCCCACACAGCCTCCAGCCTCCAGCCTCCGTACTGTCCTTGCTACTGGCACCATGATCCTAGAGGAACAAGAAGGGAGCGGCCGCCTGCTCCTAGGGAGGGGATGCACTTTGCTAGGGTTTTGCTTCTTAGAATGCCATTTTTCTAAATCGGATTTGAGGAGAGAAAATTTTTTTGAATGTTTAAGCGAGGGTAGTGATAACATGCTGTCAAACATAAAAATTGCCTGTGTTCTAAAAATGAGAACTTCAAACAAGTTCCGACTGGTGACAGACTCTGAATCACCTGGGGTGACTCCTTAGACTTGGTCTGCCACTTTGGGACCCCTTCTCTGCTGGTGCCCTGGGGACACGCGTGAGGAACCAGTGCTGCTGGAGCCACCTGTCCTGCTGGCCAGGTGTGGCTGGAACACGGTGGCCAAGGCACAGGAGTGTGGCTGTCCTCAAATCTTCCTCAGCTGCTCTCCTGCTGTGGGCAGGCAGGCAGGCCCTGGGGAAGCAGCTGCTTTTGTTTGGGCCAAAGCCCTGACACACACCCTGCCTTACAGGTATTACCGGGGGACCCACGGGGTCATTGTGGTTTATGATGTCACCAGTGCCGAGTCCTTTGTCAACGTCAAGCGGTGGCTGCATGAAATCAACCAGAACTGTGATGATGTGTGCCGAATATTAGGTGAGGCTGGACCCCAGGGTGGGGCAGTGGGAGGGTGGCATTGGTGCCCTTGCAGGGCTAGCTCACTGTGCTTTGCCTTGAAGTGGGCAATAAGAACGATGACCCCGAGCGGAAGGTGGTGGAGACGGAAGATGCTTACAAATTTGCCGGGCAGATGGGAATCCAGCTGTTTGAGACCAGTGCCAAGGAGAACGTCAATGTGGAAGAGGTGAGGCCGTGGGCGCAGCGAGGTGCCCTCCTTTCTTCTACTGGCCTGCGTGTGCCATGCATTTCGTCAGCCCTTTAAAGAGACTCTCTGAGGTAGATACCATTATCCCCACGTTTCCAGTAGGGAAACGGAGGTTCAAGTGCTTGATAGCTTTAGTAATGCCACACAACTAGTAAGAGATGGAGTCAAACTTAGGTCTGTCCCACCAAAGCATCTGCCTTGCTGGCCCTCCCCTGGTCCCACCACTGTCACCTCTTCCTGCTCTGGCTTTCCCTTGGGCCTCCAGAGCTCAGGTGGGTACCTGCTGTGAGCTGCCAAGATTCTCCTGGGGATGCCCAGCCCTGCACACCAGCACAGCCTCCACCTGAGCTGCCTCCTCTTTGTGTGTGGTATGTCAGCTAGGAAGCGTCTCTGACACAGGGAGAGAAAAGCCGGAGCTTTTGCCACAAGCCCAGCCTGACCCGCTTGCCAGCCGTAAGAGGAGTCGTGCCCTTTCCTGTGTGAGGAGCCCAGGGCCCCAGGAAAGTCAGGACCTAAGGCCTAGACTTGCCCTTCTGGGCTTAATTTGCTCATCTGCAGGTCAGGGAGAGTGGTGGTCTCTGAGCAGTGAGGGTTACGGGAAGTGAGTTGATAGTTTTAGGTACTGGGTTCAAGTTCACACTTATAGATAGTGCCTTTTTACACTTTTTGCTCCCTTCTGCATGGATGCTGCTCTCTGCCTCTGGAAGAGTAGAGGAGAGGACGGTGGCTTGGTAGATGCAGCTCACTAGGTCCTTGTACCACAAAGACATCAGGTGGCTGGGGAAAGGTTCTAGGCAGGACGTTTGGCCTGTGAGCAGTGATGACACGGGGCAGGCAGGCTGTAGTTCCTCTCATGCCTCCGAGCAAAGCAGGCCATGTTTATCAGTCTTGTCAGAAGGTTCCAGCTGAAGAGGGGGGTTCTTCTTCTCTATCGAAAAAAGACTGGAGGGGTTAGAGGCATGGTTTCAAGCAGAAGAGCCGCTGACTTACAAGTGTGAAGCCCTGAGTTCAAACCCCTGCACCACAAACAAAAACAGACAGGAAAATCCTTGAGAGATTGACTTCCCCAAGTCCACGTAAGTCATGGGTCTTTGCTATTGTTCCTTTTTGACTTTTAAGTAAAATAACTCACCACCTCCTCCTAGAAATAGTTTTGAGGGCCAGGCATGGTGGTGCACACCTGTCACTTGGGAGGCTGAGACAGGAGGATCATGGTTTGAGGCAGCCTGGGCTACGTAGTGAGCCTGTCTCAAACTAAAAAGGGGCTTTGAGGACAAATGTACAAAACAGTTCACACGTGGGAACAGAAAGCTGGGTCTGGGGAGGTGGCCCACTAGGTTTGAGGTCACCTTGCCATGCTTTCTCTCCAGATGTTCAACTGCATCACAGAGCTGGTTCTCCGAGCAAAGAAAGACAACTTGGCAAAACAGCAGCAACAACAACAGAACGACGTGGTGAAGCTCACGAAGAACAGTAAACGAAAGAAACGCTGCTGCTAAGGTCCCCACCCCTTGCAGAGACTGCACTGCGGCCCTCCCAGCCCGAGCTCCTCGGGGGACAGTCTCAGTTTTGTGCCGTTATTTAAAGAATTCTCTCCACGTTTTTGTATCGGGAGGCGCCATCGGCACTTCCTCTCCCTACCCCCTCGAGTGCCAAGAAGGTGTTGGACGAGCCTGCCCTTCCCCACTGGTGCCCTCCTCCCTGCCAAGGCGCCTGGACCTGGCGAGGACGCTGCCAGCCGAGCGGACTGATTAACCAGTTGTACATAGTGTATATTGCTTTAACCAGCTGCACACCCTCGTCCCGCTCTGGCTTTTGCCTCCATAATGCCAACCTGCTGCAACAGACCCTCCCCGGCACTCCTGTCCCATCTCGCCGCCAGCAGCATCCCCAGGGAGGAGACAGCCTCAAGTTCAAGCTGCACCTCTGGCTGGCCTGGGCCTGTGGAGTGGGCTCCATGTTGCTCATTCTCTCCTGCAGGCTGTCCTCGCATGCAGGCTCTGACCCCTCTCCATGGCCTGTGCCAGCTCATCCTTCTGCCCCTACAGCTGCTCCGGGAGCTGGGGAAACCTGGCCTTGAAGCAGGCCGCAGCCTCGGCCGGCCCCAGGCCTTGGTTCCACAAAGGAAATCAGTCCTGACCTTTGGCACACAGGTCTCTTGTCTTGCTTCTACACGCCTGTTGCAAACCCAGGGAGCTGTGGCCTCTTGTTTGTTTCAGCAGAAAGGTAGGGGTGTGCAGAGATGGGCTTGCAAGGGGGGCATAGGAGCATCATTTTAACAGATAAAGAGATGAAGCCAAATCCGATGAATTAAGTTCCTCACAGTTATTTTCTTTCCTTGAGGTTTGATTGACCCAGCAGCAAAAGCTGTGACCATTCCACTTTGGATCCAGTGTTTTTAGCAAAATGAGTAGATTCCTGTCACTTAGGGGCTGGGCTCTTTCTTGGCCTTTCTTGGGAAGAAGGGTCCTTGCACCCTTGTCCATGTGAGTCCAGGGTCTCCTGCTGGGGGTCTGAGTCTGCAGTGCAGCACCAGGCACCTCTGGTGGGGTGGGCACCTCAGATCACCAGTAGCTGTTGTAGTACAGAGGTGGTTGGAGGATCTCTTAGCATGTGGGAAGAAATGGCAGGGGGTGGGGAAGCCAGTTTTGACCCACCCCAGTCCCCTGGAGGAATACCGGAGTCATCTGCATTTGATTACTGCCCCTCCCTCCCAGGACACTTCATTCCCGTTTCCCCTAAAGGATCACGTAACCTGGGAAGAATTGATCTCGACACCATGACGTGTTTTATTAGATCTCATGTCCTAGGCAATTTCCAGGCACAGCCCTGATCGGACAATCACAGATCACTGCAGATTTTCCATGTTAACACTGTGGATGGGTTTTTAATCAATAAAAACTGGGGGTTTCTTCTCACCTGTCTCTCCACTTGTCCAAACTGTCAGAAGCTGGGGTTCTGTGTGGAAGGCCTTGGCTTTGGCGCTGCAGGCTGGGTTCAGGGAGCTGTGGGCCTGGGAAGGCAGACGCCACGGAGGGCGCTGCAGGGCTGACTAGAAGACAGCCCCATCTGGTCTGGAAAGCTGGGTGCAGAATTGGGAGTCTCCGACCTCAGGACCGTCCTGGCTGACCAGGGGCCTGTGGGGATGTGCAGGCACAGCCTCTGGCTGGTGGAGCTGTCACACTTGCCTCTGAGCACTCAGGAAGCCAGGTGAGACTGCTTGCCAATTTAAGCAATAAGAGGGTGATCCTGGGAGCTTTGAGCCCAGACTAGAAGCCTAGGTGGCTTTGGTACCTGGACATCCAGGCCCAGGTGTTGGGGTGATTTTGGTGACGACAGTGTGCCTGTCTCACTGAGTGTTACACGCATGAACGGGGTTGTGGGTGGTGGTGGGGGGGGACTCAGGGCTAGACCAATGTCCTGTTGGACTTGATGTGAAATTCCTGTCAACAAAACTTTTAAATGGTTTGTTTGTTAGGATTATTTCTGTATTGAAAGTTTCTAATTCTGCTTTTTAAAAAAATAATACTAAAAATAAAGGTTCAAGCTGCCAAATTTCCTTCCAGGTTCCGTTTGCTCTCCCTCCAGCTCTGCTGTGGATGGGCCTGGCTTCTTCCCACCCTTGGGTCCAGCTCTTGCTTGCTCTTGGCCTACGTCCTGCACAGGTGCCTTTTGAGGCCCTGGGACACTTTGAGAAGCCAAGTTCATTTTCTCTATGGTTGTAGGGTGGCGTTTCCCCTCCAGGTTGAGGCACTGGCTGGGAGCACGCGTGGGAAGATGCCAGGGGAAGCTCCATGTCTATTCTCATGCCGGAAGGACGCAGTGGAAGCTTGCCTGGAGCCATTTCTTTCTGGCTGTAAGGTCCTGCCAAGCTCCAGGGCCCAGCTCTCAGCTCGGGGAGCAGTGCTGGCAGGCGCACTTTGTAGTCTGCACACTGCAGGACTGGCAAGGAGCCCGGGGCTGATGGGAGGGGTGCAGGGCAGGATGCCGCTGCCCCGCAGGAGGGGTTCTCCTTCCTGGTCCAACCCATGAGCTGGCCTCCCAGGTGCGGACCCCACGGCTGCCACCTTGAAAAAGGCAGCAGCTAGTGGCAGTTCTGACATAAGGCACTTGTGGACCAAACCGCTCCACACACCCGGGGACTGAGGCAGGAAATGCTGTAGAAATTAATTTTATTCTCATTCAGACTATTTTCAAAAGAAGCAGTGGTGCACTGTTTTTCTAAAAATATGCCTTTATAGATTTATATATGTATATTATAAAATCCATACATGTATTTACATGGTTGCTACATACAAAATTACAGCACTGTGGTATGTACATATCTATAGATACATTCTGTCCGCTCATCCCTGCTGTGCTTTTCCCCATGAGGGTGGGAGGCTGAATCAGTGGTAAGCAGCTGCAGGCTGGGCCCGCGCAGCCTCTGAGTTGGGGCCTCCGCAGAGACAGACTGTGAGGTGGCTGCTGTGGAAGGAGCAGAAGCAGCAGGCTACAGGCCTTGTCCTCGCAGGCCTGGTGGGCAGTATCTGGGGGCTCCCACAGCCTCGTCCCATCCACCCTGTGGCACCCACGAGGCCTTCAACGTGAGGGCGGCTGACCAGGCCCCTCTAAGGCCATTACAGGGCCTAGACTTGCTGGGCTGGGCCAGGAAGTTGTATTTGAGGTGGGAGGGGCTGTGGGAGGGAGACAAGCCCCCTCAGCCCTGGCCCCACAAAGGGGACCGGGCTGGATGGCTAAGGCCTGCAGAGGACCAGTGAGAACAGGCTGCCTGGCCCTGGCCTCGCCAGGGTGTAAGGACTGCACTGGAGGAGGCAAGGGAGGCCGGCTCTTTCCTTCTCCCTGGGGCTCAGGCTGGCCTCAGCCGAGCTCGCATACACCTGAGGCCCTGCAGCAGCAGGCTGGGCCTCCTGCCGGGGAGGGGCTCCAGCACAGGTGCATGCACATGGGTGAGGAGGGCCTCCCCTCACTCACTGGGCCAGGGTTGGGGCAGGAATAAAGGCTCAGGCCTTCTGAGCATGCAGAGGAGGGGCCTCCACTTCTTTTGTTCCCCGTCATCTAAAACAGGTGGCCACAGAGCCTGTGGGGTGGGCTGTGATCAGCTGGGTCTGAGCGGCACAGCACAACTGAGGGGCCACTCTGGGAGGTAGCCTAGCCCTGCCCAGCAATGGGTCTTGGAGAAGCCTAGGCTCGGGTGTGGCCGGGCAGTAGGGACAGGGTTTCCGCCTGTCCCTGTTGAGAGCAGCCTTTAGAGAGAGGTTAAAGCAGGTACCCCCACCACTTTAGCCTCCATCCACACTGACAAAAAGGAACAGGCTCTTGGGGACCAACTGGGTCCCAGGGTGTGAGTAGTGTGGCTGTCCCATCCCTAGCCACAGAGGAAGCTCTCGCTAACAGCAACTTTTCAGCTGCTGCCAGCCCCCACCCCGTCCTTGGTGGCCCAACTTCTCCCAACTTAAATCTTCCTGAAGAAGGAGAAGAGCCGTCTGCCTTCTGTGGTGCTGGGCTCACGCACCCGCCCTGTGCTATGGCCGCGGGAGAAGGCAGCAGCAGGCTGGCTCCGTTCCTTCAGGTGCGTGTCCATCAGCTGCCGGTCAATGACCCGGTGCATGTCATCCTGCAGGAGGGGAGAGTGGGTGGGGATGAGTGGCAGCTCTTGCCTGGCCCTGTGGGTGGACAGGGAGGACCACTGTCAGGAGGACATGAGATGAGGATGAAGGATGAGATAAGCAAGCAGCTGCAGCTGGGGCTGCTGGACCCACAAAGCTGAGTGCAGACACCATGCTGGGTCACACACAGCTCTGCGGTGCTCCAGTCTCAGGGCTTGAGCTGGCTTCTTGTCACCTCCCCAACTCCACTCTCCCCCCAGCTGACCCCGCAGATGCTCTGTCCCTACAAGGCCCAGGTAGCAATGCAGCCCCTACACCAGCACTCTGCTTTGCCTGTGACCAGCTCTGTCCTCCCTCCTGGTCCCAGTAGCTGTTAGCTGTCTGGACGCTGCTCTCACCCTCAGAAGGCCCAAGGTGACCTCAGATTGCCAGCTCTCAGCTTGGCTTCAGGGGGCTGCTTCTGCCCTGCTTTCCCACTTCAGATTATTTCTAGCCTGCGCCACTAATGCCTGTGCACCATGGGCAGCCCCGTGTGTCTGGGAGCTGCCCTCATCCCACCCAGCCAGGCTTCTGCTGGGGCAGAGGCCTTGGACACCACTGTCTTTAGGACACTATCTTGCAAACTCAGGCCCATTTTGGTTGCTTCTTCTCTGGGTAAGAACTTCTCCCCCTCCAATTAGCTGGCTGCCTAGAAAATGTGCCCCTTGACCTGTCTTCCACAACAGTGGCCTTTGCTCCACAGAGGGCCTTCTGGACAGAGCAGCTGCACTCTTTCCAGGCTAGTTGCTAGATTCTGACTCTGGGTCAGATTCTCTCTCACAAGGGGCTCTGCCACTAACAAAGCTTAAAAACTACTGGCTCCAAATACCAGTGGTCCTGAGCAATTACCACCAGGAGTAAACGTAACAAGCGCCTCTCAACTCTCAGTCTTGAAGCCAGCAGTGAGTCCTGGTGACAAGCTAAACCCTAGGCCCAGCTCCAGAGGGGCTCAGTCACTCAAGCAATGCAGGCCAGAAGTTGGGATGGCCAGGTCACTGTCTGGCACCTCTGTCTGAGTCAAGTTTCCTCTGTAGGTGTCATCAAATGTTTTTGCAGGTTTTAGGTGAAACAAAGGGACTTCCAGCGATCACCAGGTGGTGGTGAATATGGACCTCACCAACCCGTGCTCATGACTGGCAGCCCTGCCTTCCCCATCCTCCAGCATACTCCTCCTTCCCCCGGCTCCTCTCCTCCTCACCCCTTCTCCTTTCCCGCCCAGCCCCTCTCCACACGCCCCTCACGTGACATCGCGTCAGGTCTGTGTCAGTGCATTGCCCCCTTTCTAAGGTTCTAGTGTGGAGTCCTCGGCACACTGGCCTGCACCTAAGGTGTCTCAACAGGATCTGTGTTGTTAGAGAAACAGAGCCATGTTAAAGGGCCCTTCAGAAAAAGTCCTCTCAAAGCTGCCAGTGTTTTCTCTGGCACATTCATTGCGTGCTGGACTTTTAGAAAGAAACCAAACGCATCAAGGTAATCCCATGAACCATTACCACTTTAGAACTCTACAGACATGTGCACATGCTCTCATAATCCCATGACTACTACTGTTGTCATGAAAAGGTGGCATTAAGAAACCAGGGTCACAAAAAAAAAAAAAATCCCTGAAGAAACCAGGGTCAGCCTGTCAGAGCTGGGCACCTGCTGAGAAGCTTAGTAGACTTGGCCGTGATGGAGGCGGGTCAGGACTCGATGGCATGTCACACTGCACAGAGATGATGGTGGGCCATGACGGGAGGAGGGGGAGGGCGGTGATGGCAGTGAGAAGAGGGTGGGTGGGATGCAGTCACAGTCTCACCTCAAAGGCAGGAGGGGTGTACGACTAGAGCTGTTGGTACGGGAGCTGAGAAAGGCCACTAGATCAGAAACCAAAGGAGCCAGATAGTGAAAAGCCCCGAGGAAGCAAACTGCAACCAGGAGAGAAGAGAGAGCAGTGTGGTGAGCCGGGGCCAGTGTGCTGGTGAGGCCACGGCTCGGCTGCCAGCCCCATGGGTCCCTAGAGTGGCAGCCACTGCTGACCCGGCCCAGAGACACTAATGGCTACTGTCATGTCCTGACACTGGCCTACCTCAAGCTCCTCAATGAAAAGCTAGCACAGCTTTAGGAAGCTGCACTGGGCCCTGAAAACAGTGGTCCTAGCGATGGCCATGCTGACTCATTTTCCCCAGGGCCTGTGCCAGCATAGTGCTCTTTGGAAAAAGGAAGTTGCAGGCCTTTGAGAAAGGGAAGGGTAGCAGCTGCTCCAGGGCTGCTGAACTGCATCCAGCTGTGAGTTTTCATTCTGTCACACGGACCTCGTGTTAACAGCTGTTTCTCACTCTAGTTTAAATCAAGCCATGATGACCAGCTGAAGGAAGGCCCCACTCCAAGTGTGGAGGTCACTACAGCCCCAGACAGCAGCAGCCTAGGCTTTGCCATGCTTGAGAGCACCTGAGGCACCATCCCCAAGGACTGACTTCTCCAGGTGAAGACTGGGCAAGTTCTCGCAGACTGCTGGAGACGAATCCTGGCGCGTCCCTTGCCCTGGTCCCAGGGCTCTTGCTTACCTGCCAAGCCTCAAGCTGCTGCGAGAGGTTCAGTTTCTGCTGAATGGCATCCAGCAGTTGGCTGTTGAGAGACATCATGTCCATCTTGCACTTGGCGAGTTCCAGCTCCACAGCGTTCTTCCTGAAAGCAGATGAGCCAGGGTGAGAGTGGATGCCCGGTGTCATAATCATCTGGTTTTGTACCTGAGGGACCTGGAGTCCCCAAGGTAAAGAAATGGGTTCTCACCCCAAATGCCTAACTGAGTCACTGTAACTATGTTGCTTGCAGGGGTCAGTCTGCCATGTGCCTTCGTGTATGTTCTCTCAACTTTCATAATCACCCTGTAGGGGAAGGGACCATTCCTCATCCTGACGGAGGATCAGGTTAAAAGTGGCACTTTTTTGGTGGCACTGGGGGCTAAACTTGGGGCCTTGAGCTAGCTAGGCAGGTGCTCCACCACTTAAGCCACTCTGCCAGATCAAAGTGGGCAACGCTTAAATGAAGACAGGAGCCCAGAGGGACCAAAGGGTCACATGGCACAAAGGAGTTACTCTATCTTTTGCAGGGTGGGGACCTTGCCCTCCTGGTAGGGGTAGGGACTCTATTTGACCAGCTACTCCCTCACCTAAAGGAACTGCTCCTTCAATTCAGATGTGTGCAAAGAAATTCACACAGAGATCATCATGGTCTAGCTATCCCTAGTTTCCATTAATGGGGACTGGTGAAATAAAAACGAAACCTGCATGAGAGGCTGTGGGCACCAGTAAAAGCCATGCACGATTTACTAACAGCTCATCACGATGCTTAGGGGAGAAAAGCAGAAAACAAGACAGAGTTTTGTAAACTAAAAACTGCCTGTGTGCTGAAGGACAATCCACAGAAATCTAGCCGGTTATGCCTGGCTGATGTCATTGATGGCTAACTCTCCTCACATACTTTTGCATTCTCACGTTTTACATGTTTCATGTATTACTTTGTTCACTTTGCTCAACATTCTTAAGTTAGAGCTATTAAATACAAAAGAAAATGAATGAGGGAGGGTCATGGGGATGGGAAGAAAAAGCGGGAGGGACTGCGAGGCCTCTGCAGAGGCCTCACGGGTTGCCCGTGAAGGATGCTCAAACGTGCATGTAGCCCTTGCCACGTCAACCACTTGAAGCAACAAAGCAAGGAACAGGCTCTCCTTGCACACGGCCTGAGGATCCGTCTGCAGAGGCCGCCCGCTTTGGCCCTGGAACAGTGGGTCCCATTTGCAAAATGCTCAGCCACCCCTCCTCCCCAGCCTGTGACCACCACTTCCTCTCTGGCCTGCTGTTTACGGAGCCATTAGTCACCTACCCCACACCCCAGTGGGACTCAGATCAGCCCTACCGCCTTCCCTAGAGGCGGCTCCATAAGGCTGTGCCCATGCTAGCCCTGCCCACTGTGGCTGCGGGCCACAGTGATAGGACCGAGCCTGTCCAATGGGCATGGGGCTCACATGCCGCAGGCTGCCTCCGTCATGCTCGCTACCATTGGCTGGCGGGGATGGCTGATACCCTCGCGTGGTGTTGGTTGCCATGGACGCCGGCCTGCCCCACAGTCCCGGAACCCCAGGCGCCGGGTAGCAGCTGCAGCCTCGCGAGCTTCCCGGCGTCCGCAGACAGGTGGCGCAATGAACAGCTCGCCTGGGTCTCCTGCCCTCCCCACCTGCAGTGACTGAAGCCTCTGTCTGCTTGTCATTCAAGAACCCCACACTGCCAAGGCCCTGCTACAGAAGTTGCGGAGCAATATATTAATAACATTAAAAAAAAAAGTATTTTCAAGGGCTGGAATTCTTATTTAAATGCAGCCACTAGTACCCGACTCTGTTTTGTAAGGCAGATTTTGCTAGTCTCGGATTTACTTTAGTGAGGGCCTTTCACCTGCAAGGTGATGACTGTTAGGTAGCTTTCCTTATTCTCGCCCCTGAATACAAATTAACACCAGGTAAAGAGGTGCCCTAACCCCAGCCATTCAGGCAGAATTGTTCAGGACTTGGGGAGTTCCCCCAGATGATTCTAATGGTCAGCCAGCTTTGAGAATCAGGTCACAGACATGATTTACATGGTAAATTCTGAAGTCTTACACAAGTGTGAGTAAATGTGTTTTCCCTTTTAACTGAGTCCTTGGTCTGTCATCTCAATTCTCCTATATCAAGACTTCCATTTCCAAGGAACAGAAAAAGAACTATCTCCCTGGAGATAACGCCCCTCCCCCACCTGTAACAACCCCTTCCCCAGGGGTTGAGAGACTGAGCTCCCACTGCAGAGTTCTCCCTGGGGAGGGGGACTGTTAACTTGGGCCTCCCTTAGTAACAGGGAAGGACATCCATTATAGGGCTTCAAATCATGTAGATTTGGTTGTCTCTCTCTCGCCTAGGTGGCAAAGCTAGGTTCTTTTTCTTTTTTTCAGGGGGGGCAGCATTGGGATTTGAACCCACGGCCTTGTGCTGCTAGGCAGTCGCTCTACCACGGGTGAACCACTCCATCAGCCCTGTTTTGTGCTGGAGATTTTTCAAGATATGGTCTCAAGCACTATTTGCTGGGGCTACCTTTTGAACTGTGATCCTCCTGATCTCTGCCTCCTGAGTAGCTAGGATTACAGCAGTGAGCACTGGAGCCTGGACTGTCCTGTTGTTTTTTAAAAAGGTATATAGGTATCTCATTTGGAAATCCAGCTCATTTCACCTTCCTGACAAGCAGCAATGCAGCCAAGGGGAAAGAATGTCAGGACAACAGGGTCAGGAGACCTGAGGGTGGAGCTATTGAGAGAGAGAGAGAGAGAGAGAGAGAGAGAGAGAAATCTCTGCTTAACTGCAAAACTGGGAGTAAATATCTCTAGCCCCAGTCCCACCAAAAAACCCTTTCTTACTACGTGTGGGAGAAATCAAGGATGTCAGCTTTTGTAGACAGGATAGTGATGTACAAATGTTGCTCTTACTGGGTTGTAAGTGTCCTGAAAGCAAACACAGTTTTGGTAACTTTTATCTCCTCACTCAGTGAAGAGGAATGAACTGGGGGCTTGATGAAGAAATAACTTATAGGGAGATGAGGACTATGGAAATAGGATTTTTGCCTATGCATTTCAAAAGTATTTAAATGTAAAACAATATACTTATACATTTCATCTCTGTTAAAACCCAGGGCTAGAGGCTTGGCTCAAGTAGTAGAGTGACTGCCTAGCAAGCACAAAGCCCTGAGTTCAAACCCCAAAACTGTCAAAACCAAAAATAGCCCCCACCAAAAAAAAAAAAAAAAAAAAAAAAACCAACAAAAACAAACTACAAAAAAAGTACTCTACAAATAACCTGGCTTATCAGAAACATAGGAGAAAGACAAAATTGTTAAATGACACTATGGGATGAAATCAAATACAGAATGTAGAAAAACTATGAGACATGATTCTGTTTCTTCAATAACTAACTGCAAGATGAAAAAGAACAGAGGGGTAAATGTTACAGACTCTCAGGGCACATCCATTAAGTTGAGTATGTAGACTTAGAATAAAGCTGACAGGTTGAAAAGGGGTTCATAAGTATGATTACCTGATGCCTGTGTCTGTCTATCTGAAAAGAATTTGCATCCTTGCCTTTCTATCACCTGCTATTTCTACAGCTCCAGGAAACCCAAATGCTCCATATTAAACCTTATACTGTTTAACCAAGTTTGTTTCCTCTCATCTCCAGGCTATGAAACTACAAATGACATAGCTCAAGGGCTAAAACTATTGGACTCTAAGCATGGCTCCTCCTCCTAAAAAACAACTACAATCTTCAGAGGATCCCAGCTGTCCCCATCAACAGAGATCTAGGACAAGAGATTCCTGACCTAGGCTTACTCCCCATACCAGCAGAAAGTAGCCACAGACTGACTTTGACTTCCCATTTCCTAAAAGATTTTTGAGAGGGGAAAGTTAGGTAACACTTAGTCACAAGTGATGAGGATATGCAAAGAAAAGAATGGAGGATTCAAAGTTTCCTAGAAAAAAAAAAAACCACCCACCTGTTAAGATCAAAATAGCCCACCAAGGTCATTCAATGTCACCGGATGTTTTTGAGTCACCCACCCTAAGGTGGATCAACATACTTCCTGAACAATAAATCTTTAGCAAGGAGGACCCGGGCCTGTAAACCATACTTAAGGGCCAGGTGGACCCAATTATATACTCTGTTCTTCGGAAATGTGTAGGCCTCCTCCACTCTTAATCCTGAACTTCAGCCTCATGGGCTGGTATTAGGGAAGGCAATGCTCCAGGTCCTTCCACCTCAATAAAAACTGGTGCCATGATAAAAATAAATGTCATTCTCATCCTCTCTGCAGAGATGACCTGCTTTCATTCAGTCTACTGAAAGTGTATTCTTTTCCTAATAAACTTTATTATCTCTTTCACTACAAAAAATATGTGGATTTTGGAGCTGAATTCTAATTGATGATAAAATGACATTCATGGGACAATTGGGGAAATCCAAACACTGCCTGGATATTAGATGTTATTAAAAAACAGTTCTTAGAAATTATGTGATTTCTTGCAATACAATCACTGGAAAAAAGTGGGTGGGATACAGATGACTGATGTGACTCAGGTCACATCAGTGTTAAAGCCAAGAGGTAGGTATACAGGGATTATTATTATTATTTTCACTTTTATGAATGCTTGAAAATGTCCATAACAAAGTAAAAAAGAAACTTACTAATGAAATTGGAAAGATATAAATGAAAAAAAAAACACATGTACAGTATCATTCTACTGATTTTTTTAAAAACCACAAGCTATATTATAAATACACATGCACTGTGTATTTATAGAAAAAAGATCTGACAAAAGGAGTGTCTACCTGGAACTGGGGGTGAAAATGGGGAGCAGGGAAACCAACCGTTTTGTATTGTTCTGTATGATATTTAAAATTGAACTTATACATCCATTTTATTTTAAAAATAAATGAAGCAAACCATCCCTACTCACTTTGCAATGGCCTCATCCCGGTCCCTGATGGCCTTCTGAAGCTGTTCCTTTGGCTCCTTGTCCTCAGATGTCACTCTGAGTCGGTCCCTCTCTTCCTTCAGTGTAGTCATCTCCACACTCAGCAATGTCACCTAACAGGAGACCAAAGACAATGAATGTGACACCACTGCTGCTGGCCTGGGTGAGGGGAAAAGAGGCATCCAGAAGCACCAGGTGAGCCCACGTATGTGTAGGAACAGGCTGGTAGCATCTCACTGCTGCCCTGCTCCAAGAGAGGACCCTTCTTTCCTAAGAATGGATGCCACACACTACCCTGCAGCTCAGTGACAAGGGCACTCAGGGGAAGTTCGACCTAAGACCTGCAGCCAGGGGGCTAGATCTGTACTCCCTTCGGTACTCAGCACATCACATCATCATTCGATTACAAGGTACTCCCAGGGAGTTAATGCAAGAGTACATTATACAAATGCATCAGGCTGCCACAATGAAACCCCCTGTACGAATAATATATACTAATAAAAATGTTTCAAAAACTCCATCAGGCCTCTGGAGCACATTTTTGGGGTAGGGTCTCCATCTTCCATGTGGGACACTGCTATCAGTAAGGCCTTGGATGGCTCCAAAGCCTGAGACCTGGACCTAGCTCCCATCTCCAACGGCACTTGGTACAACCTGGTTCTTCCTCAGTTTTCAAAGCCACATGGAATTTAGATACCTAACTGATGTTTTCATCTCTTACTTCAAACCTGTCACCTTTCCTGTAATTCATTCCTCAGTGAATGGTACCACAGCCTACTCAGTCCTCACACTTAACTTGGAAGCCATCATTTGGCAATGAAGTGCCTCTCTAGTGACCCACCCCACAACCTAATAACCTCATGTATAACATGGTCTCTGGGATGGCAAGAAGTGTGTCACAGCCATCTGTGCACACAAGAGCCTTACTGGTACTTAATCACCAAACTCTTAATGCACTAACACAGCCATTTAGGGGTGGTTATCACCCAAAACTTTGCCCTATTTTGGGGGACATTCCTGCTTGCATGAGTACTGGTGGGAGGCAAGGCATGCTCCCACGAAGGAAGCAAAAGGGGGACAGGTACTCATTTTATTTCCTTTGCACCTGTGGCGTGGGTATGTGACCTGTACTTGCCAGTTGCTCCTCCTTTCCTAGCCTGCAGTTCTTGACAACAGCAGAACCAGACTCTTCCTGTTTGGGAGATGTCCCACTTTTCTTGCTGTTGGTTCTGTAGGTGTTCAGACTTCATTCTAATGCATCTGATTTCTGCTTCAGTTATGCAGAGCCAAGTTCTACTGTCTGCAAGCAGAAACTCTGCCTGGCAGAGCTTTCAGTAAACATCTGTTAAGCAATGGAAGGGTGGGAGCCCTTTCTTCTAGGTTGATAAGATCAGACATGAGCTGGGATGCTTGACCACACCCTCTTTTTAAACATTACACACACATTAACATTTTTCCAAGGGAGGATCCATTCACACGGATCTGCCTTCTTCCTGCAAGAGACACATATCACCTTTCAGCATATTCCTTGGCTTTCCATGTCCCAGGTCTAATCATCTTCAGACAGACAGAAACTGAGCAAAGGTCCCAGACCGGACTGACGTTCAAGTTCCCCAGACAAGAAACCAAAACTGTCAGCCCCGGGGCAGCCACTCTGGGGGGATTCAGAGGGGACACAGGACCAGGAGGGATTGAAGGGCAATCTGTTGCCCAATGGACCATGGATTTTGCACTCTTTAGAGTCTGATAAGGAACTCCAGGGACTGCTGCTCTGTTCTGACAGTCGAGAGCCACAGTCTTCCTGGTTGGGGACAGCTTGGGTCAGGAGGGTGTCAAGCTTTGGGAAGTGGTCTGGAATATTTGCAAAGGTCATGGCTTGTACATGTGACTAGCCCTGAGGCAGATGAAGTGCCAGGGGAGAGGCCTAGCCTCACTCTAGGCATCAGCAGGTTCTATAGCCTGGTTGCCAGAACTAGAGACCCAGAAAAGCACTTGGCAAAGACAGCCAGACCTCCTCATACCAGATGGGCCCTAATGTGGCCTCAAAACAGTTGAGTAAGGGACAGACAGGTAACAGACAGGGACAGACATATCAGGCAGGAAAAGTCAGCATTTAATATGCTCCAGATAGAACTGCAGAACTTTTACTTTGGCCTACAAAACCTGGACAAGCTAGAGCCCAACAGATACCTGCCTCAGAAGGGAAAATTTCCTTTTCCAAACCACATACTATCCATAAAAATCAGGAAAAACAAAAAAACAAAAAACCATTCCTGCTCCACCAAGTAGTTCTAAGGACCAACAGAGTTACATAACCTCAAGGGCAGGGTGCAGGCCCAGGGTGTCGTTGTAGACTCCACTCCCTTTCCTCTCCTACCAAAGTGAGGTCTGCTAGCTCTCAGGAGACTGGATATGGCTTGTCTATACTAAGGAAGAAGTCCTAGTTTAAAAAAACAAAACAAAACCCTGAAGCCATCTATCTAGGGCATTATTTGCTCTTTTGTTTAACAATTATTTGGGTGCCTATGCTAGGCAAGGCCTGAGCTAGATGCTTTAGGAGAGAAAGGTGGGTGGAACCTTGCACTTGTCCTCACAGGGTTTGGGGTATGTTTGACTGGAAGGTGAGGTGTGAATGTAGTGAGCCATGGATAAATCATTTGGTCTGTGGATTTTGCTCAAACCGATCAAATTAAAGTTGGGCTTGTTTATTAAAAAGTCTGGGTAGTTTCTGAGGGGTGGGTGAAGCAGGCTACTCACTTTTCAGGCCTACCCCTGACCTCTGGCCTTATTTCCAGGAGAGGAAGGAAATAAGTTAGTGGGCTCAGACCTTGTTTGCTTGAACTTGTTCCCAGCTAACCATGTCTTGTCCCTGCCCACAGAGGGTACAGAGATGGCTCTGAATGCCCTCATGACACTGAGGTCCTGGAGTACAGGGGCTCTGGAAGCCATCATATGCCTCTGAGGATCTAGCACAATGCAGGCACATAGTGGGTATGTGGAGATGATAAACCAGCCCTGCACAAGGAACATCATGCTTGCTGTTTTGGTTGCATATTACAGGGTCATTCTGGAACTCCATCTGCACCCCACCCCTGCCTGGGTATGGTGTGACTTCCACAGGGCAGTTCTGGGCCATGCAGTATGGCTGAGAAGTTTCTGCTTTGAACATTCTGTTGGAATGAGCTGCAGGAGAAGTCCAATTCTACTCCATGTGGGACATGAGTAGCAAACTCTTCCTGCTAAGCTCTATGAAAGGGAGCCACAGAAACTGACTGAAACCTGTTATCTGCTGAGATTCTAAGGCAACTTGCCTTGTGGAGGTAGCTTCCTACCTCAGGCCCTAAGCAACCTATATATACTGACTGTATTTCCAAATGAAATAATGCCCTCTGGTGAACTTCTAGTATAATTCTGAGAAGCAAAATAAAAAATAAAATGAAACAAAAAACCAGTCAATATCAAAGAGCTGAAAAGCAAGTGCTTATTTACAATAAAGCCCAGCACCCTGGTGTATGCCTGCCATCCCAGCTACTCAGGAAGATGAGGCAGGGGGATCATTTGAGCCCAGGAGCTAAAGGCCAGTGTAGGCAAGATCCTGACTTCAGATAAATAAAATACATTATAAACTCAAATAATTTTTAAACATTTCTCTTTTTTTCAGTGTTAAAAATCAAACCCAGGGTCATACAGATGTTAGTCAAGTATTCCACTACTGTGCTACACTCCTCAAAGAACTTTTAGTTCTAACTTTCTCTTGCATTTTATTTATTTACTTAAATTTATTATTTTTTGTGGCAGTACTGGGGTTTGAATTTAGGGCCTTACCCTTGCTAGGCAGGTGCTCTACCACTTGAGTCACTCCACCAGCCATTTTTTGTGTTGGGTATTTCCGAGATAGGCTCTCGCAAACTATTTGCCTGGAATGACTTTGAACTGTGATCCTCCTGATCTCTGCCTCCTAAGTAGCTAGGATTACAGGTGTGAGCCACTGGCACCCGGCTTTCTCTTGCATTTCATTCCTCCAGGTTGGTACCGGGCTAAAAGACCATCCGAAGATCTTAAGAGTTGAGGCCAGAGCACTTTTTGGCTGCCCAGCCCACTTCCCAGAGAAGCAAGCCCACAGCTCTAAGCAAGCATCTTTTCATCCTTGCTCTCTGGCCCATCATAGGAAATAGTGACTGCTGTAGGTGGGCCTGCCCATATCTTCCAAGAAGATATTAGAAAGACTACCAGAATGATATCCCCTCAAAAGGTAGGAGTTTATTTCTATAAAGGTATCTTAAATGTAACAAAAACTGATGGAAGCAAATGCCAGTCTTCAACTTCACCCCAAAGAAATATCATCAGCAGGAAAGGATGAGTGGCTGTGGACCAGGAGAGGGGTGGGTTTAATTGCACATGAGTGTGGTCAACAGGGAGAACTTCTATCCATCCCCCAGGGTAGATTTTAGAAGCTCCTTTTTGGGCAGGGCTGTTTTTAAATCTTTTGAACAGCTTTCAGATCACAATGTAGATGTCCTTCTCCAGCACTGGCAAGAGAGATGGAATCATGATCAAACAGGAAAGGGAACAGAAAGGGCTGCAGTAAGTTCCCTAAAGCTGAAAAACAGGCTCATGGAGGTGATGGTGCTGAGCAGGAACGCCCTGTAAAGATTAACTGTTCCTTGTCTTGCCAACCCCCTTGCCCAGGAGCTGCTAGGAAAACATCCTAGAGTAGCCTGGGAGCTGTAGCTTTCAGCTGCCAGAATCTACCAATCAGCCTAATTTTTGGCTCTACAGACATGTCACTGCAGGAAACAGGGGATCAGCTATTCTTGTCCCTGCCAATTTCACTTTAGGCTGAATGAGGACTGGTTTCTCCTTTTGAAGACACTCTGCTTACCTTAACTTCAGGTCATGGTCCCCTGAAGAGCTGGTGGAGGAAAGCTGACCTTCACAGAAGTGGGAGTGAGCGGGGGAGACACACACCCTCCCTGCACTAGGCTGAAGATGGGGTGCTCACCTGACTGTGGAGTCGCTGCAGCTCTTCTAGGCTTTGCCTCAGTTTACCCCTCTCTCCCTCCATGAGCTCCCTCAGAGCTCTTGAGTCCTCACTGGTCTGCCTGATCTGTTCTTCTAAGGAGTCATCATCGATTCTCCGGGAGCTCTAAGAGAAGAAAGAGCCAGCCAAAGATGGGGAACAGCAGGATGGATAGTGGGGGAGATGGAGAGGAGATGAGGAAGAGAATGGGGACAGAAAGTAAGGGAGATGAAGAGAAAATGAAGGGAGGAAAAGAAGAGAGGGTGAGACAAAGAGGGGAAGAAAGAGTTAGGGAGATTCTTGAGCTCAATTTCAGCCTGCCACGATAGCTAGATATTTATTTTTGTTTCTGGCTTTGACGAGAGGAAGCTGTGTAAGTGCTGCGCTCTGACAGCTGTGTTCTCTTACACTGATCTGGCCTTGTACTACAGTACATTTAACAAATTAACAAACCCTGGTCAGACAGCAATCACCCTTTGCTTTACTTCATCCAATATGGGCAGAAAGACACAACCACTCTGTAGGAGGATGAAATCTGAGGAGAAAGTAATTGCCCCAAAGCTGGGTGCATGGATAGAGAGTAAAGCCAGGAAGAAATCTGCCACAGAGCTATAGGAATGCCAGTCTGCCCAGGATATCAGGGAAGCATTCTTTCCCCAACAGGAAGTCACAGCTTTTTCTTTTTTTGGTGGTACTGGGGTTTGAACTCAGGGCCTCACGCTTGTAAGGCAGATGCTCTACCACTTGAACCACTCTGCCAGCCCTTTTTTATGTTGGGTATTTTCGAGATAGGGTCTTTTGAACTACTTGCCTGGGCTGGCCTTGAACTTGATCCTCCTGACCTCCGCCGCCCATTACAGGTGTGAGTCCCCAGCATCTGGCTCACATCTGGAATTCTAGGAGGCCCTTGACATTCACCTCTTTTCAGCTTTCTGTGCTTCTTTTGGCAAAAGCTTAGGTTATTTATTGGGCCTTGAACTCAGGACTTCACATATGCAAAACAAACATCTTACCACTTGAGCCACAACTCTACTCCAGAAGCTTAGATCTTTAATAAGTTTACTACTCCTAACTCACCCCTATACTAGGACCAAAGGTCTGCAGAATAGTAACATAGTTTTCACCTGGATACAAATCTCTCTATTCAAAGTTTCCAAGAAAAGCCCTTGAACTTATGTCTGAACCTAACTATGTGGAGAAAAGGACTTTGTTTGTACCCTGCTGACCGCAGGAGGGTGACCTTGGAGCCTCTCTTCCCTAGTACTCAGCTTCTCTGCCTGATCATCAGTTCTCAGTGCTTTCAAAAAAAATGAACAAATACTCAGAAGGAACTCTGGCAGGTAGTTGGTAAGGCTCCAATTCAAGGTTTATTTCACCTTCTGCACTGGGATGCGACTGCCCACTGGCCCAAACTTGCAGGTTAGCTGCTTCTCAGACTGACCCTTACCGTGGGCTCCATGCCGTCCACGATGCTTTGTATCAGTCTCTTGAGCTCATTAAGGGCAGTGCGTAGGCTGCCAGCTGGCACATCCTTGGCAGATGAGGTTTCTGAAGACTCGTCCATGGAGGAGTCTGTGGACACAGCTGAGTCGGCACTGTCATTTCCTCGAAGGTGTGAGCAGAGATAGCGAACCTGGCAGTAGGCTTCCCAGAGCTGCAGTCTCAGCTGGGTCACAAGTGTTATTCATCATTACGGACTCTAGTAAGGACCTGGCCATCTCTGTCTAATAGCCAAATTCAAAATATAGGTATCCAACAACCCAGTTCTAGGAATAGGGGCTTTTGTTTTGTTTTTTAATATCATTGCCTCAGGAAATAATAGTACTTTGAGCCCTGCACATCACCCAGACTCCTGATTCTCATTTTCTCTGCTCTCCAGCCCCTCCCATTTGTTATTACATACATGTTCAGTGTTTTGTTTTGTTTTGTTTGCAGTACTGGGGTTTGAACTCAGGGGCCTTCACTTTGAGCCACTCCACCATCCCTATTTTTTTGTGAAGGGTTTTTTTGAGATACAGTCTCACAAACTATTTGCCTGGACTGGCTTCAAACTGCGATCCTCCTGATCTCTGCCTCCTGAGTAGCTAGAATTACAGGTGTGAGCCACTGGTGCCCGGCTACATGTTCACTTTTGTTGACTGGAGTCAGGAAATGGTTAGGGGAATGAGTAGTTAGGGGAAGTAAGAAAAGAAGCTGAGAGGATGGATTGTGAATGTTCTAGAACTCTGCCACTGCCCAAGGAGTGAGGTGGATTATTTCCTCATCATTGGCCCAGGCAAGACCACACAGGAAACTGTGCTCTGGCGGCTCTGCTCAAGGTCTCAATGGACAAGACAGGTGGGTGATGGAAGCCTAGGGTAATGGAAGCCTTTCCTTCAGGGTCTGCTTTGTGTGGCATCAGACAGTGGGTATGGAAATTCAGATAGGGCCATAGCCCTTGCCAGGTATCAGTGGAGTCCTGAGGAGGAAGGGATGGGCTAAGAACACCAGGACACCTGCCCTCCGGGGCAGCAGGGACATCAGCACCTGCTCTCTCTCCTGCTCCAGCTCCTCGGCTTCCATACTCTGCTCAATCTCGGACAGCAGGGAGGTACTGGTGGCGGCCGAACGCTGCAGGCTCCTCTCCTCAGTGAGCTCCTCCACCTTCACCTGCAGCTGCCGATAGGACAGTCGCACCTCCTGGAGCTCCAGCTGGCTTTGGTGCAGCTGTCAGGGAGAGAAAAGGCTAGGAGGCTCACCCAAATCAAACAGTAACAGTGCCAGGGACCTGACCACCTGCTAGACCTGCCATCAACTCACAGGGAACCTCCTGGAGCTTCCAGCTGGCTTTGGTGCAGCTGTCAGGGAGAGAAAAGGCTAGGAGGCTCACCCAAATCAAACAGTAACAGTGCCAGGGACCTGACCACCTGCTAGACCTGCCATCAACTCACAGGGAAACACAGAGGTGGAAGGAACGCAGCAGACTACATCAGGGATGTGGTTAGCAAGACTCAGATCTGGGAAATTCTACATGACAAATAACTCCTTTTCAAATATATTTTAAGAAAAACAAGATACAGGAAGAACCCAGAAATTAAAACAGACTCAAGAGATATATCAACCAACTGCAATGTATAGGTCTGTACTACTTTTAATCTTGACTCAAAAAAAAAAGTATTAAAAATTTATGAGATGACAATTGAAAATCTGAACAATCACTGAGGTTTTTGACAATAGTAAGAATATAGTTAAATTTTTTAGATATTATAGCACAAAGGTTATATATTTTTAAAAGGTCTTTTCTTTCTCTATTTTTGAGACAGGGTCTTGCTATGGACCCCTGGCTGGCCTCGGACTAACAGTCCTCCTTACCTTAGCCTCCCAACAGCTGTGATTACAGCTGGGTACCACCATGTCCAGCTTAAAGTTTTTTTTTCCTCCTTCCCTCCTCCCTACCTCCATTCCAGACATAAAAAGTATATAATTAATGTAATTTTGCTCATAAAACATTCTTAAATTTTACTGAGATGGAAAAAGTGGAAGTTGGACTGTAGGATGGTACTACTTGTGGGTGCTAGTAATGCTATCTTGATGGGTGAGGTGTTACACATGCATATGTACTTATAAAAATTCACTCAGCTGTCCCCTTAAGAGTTTTTGTTTGTTAAATGATCACATAGATTTTCACATAATTCCACATATTTTTAGAGCTGGTAGGGCCACAGGAATCAGTAAGCCCAACTATCTCAGGTTCCTGAAGACAGAACTGAGGCTCACAGAAGGGAGGGACCAGCAACACAGGGGTCATAACTCATGGCAGGGCTCTTCCTTCCCTCTCACTGCCATTACTTCACCCCTCTGCATTCTCTAAGGCTCCTTCCATGTGTAGTACACGACAGTGTACCTCTTTGGTGAGATCACACTGCTGCACATAAAGACCACCAATTACCACTGCTAAATGCCCTCTTTTCTTTGTGCCCTCCATCACTGACTTGCTTCTAACACAGCAGAGTTGTCAGTAGTCTGCCAGTTGCCAGGCACATGGCCATAAGTCACACCTGTAAGGGACAGTATTTCCTACTCCTCCTGTTTGTGGACTACCTCCCTCCACCTTAAAAGATTTTTTGGGGGATTGAGATGTAGCTCAGAGGTTGAGTATTTGCCTAGCATGCATGAGATCCAGGATTCGATCCCCAGTACCATGAAAAAAAAAAAAAAAGTTGTTTTTCTTTTTTTTCCCCTGGGATGTGGAATAGGGAAAACATTTCCTGGGATTTAAATTTATCTTTTGAAATTGTTCTTGATGAACATAAAATAATCATTGAAGCTGTGTTAAACACATATCCGTTTGTCTCTTCAAAAAGAACATACTGAAGTTTGCTATTCTTGTGTTGTTGATGGTGATAAAGATTTGAAATATAAAAAAATAGAAAGCTAAAAAAAATAATAAAAAAAATAAATTTATCTTTTTATAAAAGAACATTTCTGGGGTCACCTCTGTTCCAGGCAAGAGAAGGAACTGTCTTCCTCAGACTCTTGGCCAAACTGGCTTGTGGCTCCTGCGGAAATGAAGAGACTGAGGTGGCTGGCAGTAGAGCCCTAGCTCTTGTGAGTGGAGGAAGCTGCCTGGCAGAGCCTCACCTTCATCTGTAAATGCCAGGAAACTGTTGGCTAATGACACTAGAGGCCTGGATGAGCCCTAACTAGGAAAGGCTTAGAGCCTGACTGCTCAGAGATGAAAAAGGAACTGGCCCTCCTGCACTGTATGGTTCCCTGGATCAACAACACCTGCTGGTCTAGTGGGAATTCCTCCAGCCCATTCTGAGGACACTTAGAAAGAAAAATAAAATCAGGACTACAGGGGGTAAAAGAGAGACATTCCTAGGAAGCATTTGGTACAATTACAAGCAGCATATTAAATTGGCAAAATGCTTTACAATTATTTTCTAGGCAACTCCACATATATCTCAGCAGGAGAAGTCACACACAGACAAGTACAAGTTCTTATGCACTGGACAAAATTAGTTCAATTACTCATGCACACTCAAAGGTGCCTAATTAATTATAACAGCAAGAGAACAAAAGGCCAGGAGGGGCCTCACTCTTTAGACAGTGACTTGATTCATCACCTGGATAGATGTGTAGAAAAATCAAACCAGGGAAGAGTTTATTACCTATAAGAATCATCTAAAATAAAAAATAGCATCCTTTGTATGACAAAGACAACATTAAGTACATTTTTAGGTATGAAACAGGGTTGGCACTAACTGCTTTGGGTTTGTATGACATATGAAGTTTAAGCTCCCAATACTCATGTGCGTGGAAGTAGGGGCGCTCTCCTCACCTGACATTTGAAGGGTTGAGATGGTGTGATGATATGGGATTTGTCTAATGGTACATGGTCAACGTCAGAGCAAAGTCTAGACCTCAGGACACCTACTTCCTGGATCACCCTATGTTTTGCTAATGAAATCCGCCCACTCCTTGGGGCCAGGACCTGTGCACATGTATAAGATGCCTGGCTGAGTATGAAGCAGGGCAGCTAAGTGGCCCATGGAGGGACAGTATCAATTTCCTTTATTAAATATTAAGAGTTTAGCAAAATGCTTAATATAGACTGGGTGCTTGATAAATTAATTTTTAATCCTGATTTTGAGGCCTGAAAAAAAGACTGCTGGAGTGGCTCAAGTGGTAGAGTGCCTGCCTAGCAAGCATAAGGGCCCTGAGTTCAAACCCCAGTACTGCCAAAAACCAAAAGATTCCGAAACAAAAAATATGAATTTGATTAGTGACTTAAAAATCTGTTTTGGAGGCTGGAGGCATGCCTCACATGGGAGAGTGCCTGCCTAGTGAGTTCAAACTCCAGTACCTCCAAAAAAAAAAAAAAAGAATCTGTTTTTGACAGGACTCCAGTCATACAGTGAAACTGATCAAAGGGGGCTCCCTGGTGGTGGCAGGCCTTTCCCTTGCCTGCTCAGCCTTATTCTCTACCCCCACTCTTTGAGGGATTAAACCATGGGATTAAATACATTCTAAGGCCACTGGCTTGACACTTTACCAATCTGCTGAGTCAGCTGGAATTTTTACTTCTGTGTCAGTACAGTCTTTTCAGCAGCAGGCAAAGCTTTGTGAAGGTCACTAGTAACAAGGGGCAGCTTAAGGAGAGTTTCACATGAGCAGAAGGTGCAGACAGAAATAGTCACAGAGTTAGGAGAGGTGAGAATTTAACCCATAAATGTGATCTTCACGCACCATTAGGGAACCATCTGACTTGCTGGAGGCCCTTGTAGGCCAGTCAGAAGACTGTGCAGGGGGTAAGGATTGTGCATTGGGCCTGACCTGGGATTATTATTATTTTTTGCGGTACTGGGGTTTGAACTTGTGACCTCACGCTTGCTAGGCAGGCACTCTACTCTTACCACTTGAGCCATTCCGCCAGTCTCTGATCTAGGCTTACTGCTGCCAGAGTCTACTGCACTAGTTAGTCCATGGTGGTCCGTACTGGTCCTGGCTCTTTTTTCACAACTCTAGGTCTCCAATAACAGACCTGAAATAAGAACTTTTCATTTGTGAATTCATCCTAAACAAAGTTTCTCTTGGCAGAGGCCCTTTCTCCATTTTTCTGTACTACTTTTTTCTCTCCATATTCTATCTCAGTAACTAACTCTAAGGAGAGTGCTTGATGGGGTACCTAAATGCTGATTAAATGCCGATTTTGCAGGGACAAGTGAGCAACAGGTAAATCAGGTGGGGGGGTTCTAGTCTCAAATCTACCAAAGACTTAGTACATGACTTGGGATAAGTGATTCGTTTTCTCTAAGCCTCAGCTTTATAAGGTATGGGAAAGCAGTCCATCTCCTATAGAGAAGCATACAGTGTTCTTTGCTATTATCATCAACCTTGAAAAATGAGCAAACTCCTTTCCATTTCAAAACTGCTGAGGCTTTAGCCAGTATCATTCTCCCTTTCTGTCTCTCTCACTCTCACTTTGTGCTGCTGGAGATAGAAACCAGGGCCTGTGCAAGCTAGGCAAGTGCTCTACCACTGAGCCACACCCCAGTCCCACCCATTCTCTATTTGACGTTTGCTGAGGACCTACTGCAAAGTTAACAGCTCAAAGTACAAAAAAACAGAGGGAGAAAAATCTGCTAACTGTCCCTTAAGACACAGATGGGGCACTGCTTACATGGCACCTGAGCTGATGGTATCAGTCACAATGACATTAGCCTAAGACACTGTCTCCTCAGCCCATATTCCAGGGCTTCTAAACAGCTTACAGGCCCAGTGGGGCCTTCTGTGGCCTGGTTTTGGGGCAGGGACACACTGGGCACTCAAGTATAACCTAGCCGACCACCTTCCCCAAACAACAGTGCTGCAATCCAGTGCACACTCTGTCACATTCAGAGGGAAGCAATGCCTTTCTATTTTCTAGGCCTAGGCCAACCCAGCAAAGCACTTGGGTAGCAAACCTGAGTCTTATTTCCGGGGAGCCAGGGAGTAATTATCTTTCTGTTTCAGAGGTTGTTTCTTGTCAAGTGTAAGCTTGGGAATTCAGGTGAGGCCTGGTGGCAGTTTCCAAGTGAGGACAAATATGGCTGAAGAGCAATTTCTTTTAGGGAGGAAAAAGACTAACCAGGCTCACAAAGAGGTGCCTAGTCTGTGCCTCTGGCAATGGGAAGAATGAGGAAGAATGTGTCTTGCTGGATTTGGTGGGCAGATTTTTGGTTTTTACCTCGTGCCAGCCACCTACATTCCTCTGTCGAGCAAGCAGCAGTGGATAGCTTTGTGAGCTGAGCAGAGTCATAGGCTGCCTCTGAATCTAGCAGATTTTACAAACTCCAGGAGGCCACCATTATATTCCTGGTGTTCCAGTCATGTTGATAGACCAGAAAGAACTGTGTAAAACCGCTCCAGAACCCATGGGAGGGATGGCCTCTGGGAAGCCATGTGTTTCCCTGGCTTTGGGCATATTAGTGGGTGGCCAGGGAAATCATGACAGGTCCATAGTGAGACCTTGGCATCACCTACTCCTGACTGACCCTGTGGAGGTGGGTGGCTACCCAGTCCTTCCTTTCTGGCTAAGTGTTCTTATTGTCTGGACTTAGTCCTGAAGGACAATGTCTCTGCTCTGTACCTGCAGGTCTTTGTCATGGCCCTGCCTCTCCAGGATCAGCACCCGGTCCTGCAGCTCCTCCACGGTCCCTTGCAGCAGGTCATTCTCCTCTAAGGTGGCGCTGAGACGATGCTCCAGTTCTCGTTTCCGATCTGACAACATCTTGATCTGAAAGGGTGGAGAGCCAGAGGGGTAGTGTGGAGTCACATCTGGCTGTATTAGAAGAGGGACTAGTCCTAAACACGAATGCACATATCTCTGAGTGTCGTGTCCAGGGACTTGGGCCTTCCACGTCAGAGAGAAGAGCAGTGCAATCTCAGGCTGAAGAGAAAGGCCCTTTCCACTTAAAAAGTTCTCTGAAAAGCAGTGGGAGTCAGCCATAGAGAAACTGGAATGTGGGCTGCCAGGCAGAGGAAGGGTTGGTTAATATTCTGGAAATTCCAGAGATAAGACAGCTCCACCTCACCTGCCCTCAGCCTTACCCCAACCCCACCACTGGCAGGAGTGGAACCTGACCTGCCATATTCCTTTTTCAAGTCACGAGCACCAGAAGGTGCCCATGCAATTCCTGGAGGCACTGTATTTTCACGCTCAGGTTTGCCTCCATCCTCTCCCCATAGCTGGACCCTCTGGTGCTGCTGATCACAGCTTAGACCCAGAGCCCCAGTTAATGGAGGAGCTAGCAGAGTACAGAAGGCAGAGTAGTGCCTACATCAGCCTGGGAAGGAGTGGGGCAGGGACCATGTGAATAACAGACTGCATTCAAAGCAACTTGTACCTGAGTATGTGTTTAGAAAATGCTCTTTTATGGGAGAGGCTGACCTGTGTGCACTCAACACCTAGTTAATGTCAATATACAGGCATTTCCTTGTCTGTCTACTCTCTTCACTGTCAGGGAGGAAGCAGAGGAAAGAGATGCCCAGTCTCTTCTGGCCTCCAGGTTTTCAGGGAGCAAGTTAAGCCAGAACTCCCCAAAGCCAGGGAAAGTACCACCCTAGTCAGGGGCTCTCTTGGGTGAACTTTTGGGGTCCTATAGGTCCCCCTTGCTTCTCCCATTCATTAGTTCCTGCTGTATTGATTTCTCATCCAGCTGTGTGCCTATACATACTTTCCTGACATGGTCAAGATGTTCCCCAGGCTCTGTGGTCTAGCCTGGAGAACGATGACTTCGTGCTCTTCCTCAGGTAAGTTCTGGGAACCAACCTCAGCACTTTTTCAGGGGAGATTTTGAAATGAGAGTCTGACTCGTTCTAGGTCCTCTGAGATTCACAAGAGGGCAGTCCTTCTGCCTCTTGGCTATTTTCATTCTCCGCACCAGGAGTTCTGCTCACAGGCACCCATCTTCCCTGGCCACCAATCAATCAGATAGGTTACCGTGCTGGGAAAACTTATGTGGCCTCTGTCCAGAGAGATCAGGTGTCTGCCCAAACAAAGAGATGCTGTCTCTCAAGTGCGCACCTTGGCAAGGGACCAAAAGGAGCAGGTCTTTTGTGAATGGGCCCACTATTCCCCACAATGAAGCAGTTACCCACGTGAGGGGAATTCTCACTCCAGTTCATTTTCATTTAAACACCCTCTGCCCTTTAAATCCTTCCCATGGATTATCTATATTCCCCAAATTTCACTCAGTGAAGTAACAAGGTAGCACTATTCTCACATGCTACCAACCAATAAAGAAACTTTAGGAGTCCAGAGTTACATAAGGTAACATATGAAATCAACAATTTCACAGCTTAATCTTTGAAAGTAGGGGTGTTTCCAGATGAAAGCAAGATTTGACATTAAACTGCAACTCCATTATCCCATCCTATACACCCTGAACCTTGTGACCAGATCTGACAATAAATCTTCAGGAATGACCTTGCTTGCAAGGGCCTAGAGAAAGTAGATGGTAGGGAAAGAGGAAGACAGGCAACTCAGAGTTAGATAGAGCCTGGCAGGGGCAGTTGAATGGCAAATCATGCACACAAATGTCACAGATAGGCATGCCGAACCCCACCGCAACAAACTCTACTTACTTCAAGAACCTGCTGCTCAATACCAGTAGGAATTCCAAGGGAAAGGAGGAAGGAAGGGAATGGGAGGCAGAAGAAAAGAGAAGATATTGACAGATTTTAGGAGAAACATCCTTAGGTCATTTATGAAGCAGGGGAGCAGCTGTGGGGTTTCTCTGGTCTGACCACAATGGCTCATTCCTTAGCCTCAGACAAAGAGGGGGTGCTTTCTGTCTGGCCCTAGAATATTTCTCAAAGTTTGTCTTAGCCAAAGGGGAGAAGGGGCCCTTAGGAGTGGATTAGATGGAAGTCTCCCCCTGGAGGATATCTGTTTTGGCTGGTAGTATGACTCTTGTCCTCTCCTCACCTCACAGCTGGATGCTTACAGTACTGTCACTCATGTGCTACTTTCTGTTCTCCCCAGTGCCATGCTCTCATGTACTTTCAGTAGCACTGCCATGTCCAAGGTATCACACAAAGTGCTCTCCCTGTGTTAACCCACCAAAACTTCACAGAGGCCCACTGAAGTAGAAAACTTCTACTGCGCTCATTTCATAGATGAGAGTAACAGCAGACTTATCAATCAAGGTGGGCTGAACTGGACCTAAGAAGACTGCAGAAAGGGAAGATGCCCTTCCTCAGCATTCTTTTTTTTTTGCAGGGACTGACATGATTGACATATTGAGTAAAATGCTTTTGATTTTTCTAGACCCAGGAGCAAGGATCAAGTGTTCCTCATTTAGTCTCTCACAGAAATGTCTCTTTTGAGGTTTTAGTCCCTTTTATATAGAACAGGGTTTTGTTTCCCAGCTCAGATGGCTCCTTATCCAAAGACTCAGTGCAGAGCCTCCAGGTCTAGCCCTTCCACCTCCAAGCACGGCCACACAGGAGCCTCACCTCAGCCTGAAGGCTCTCAAGCCGGATGATGTGCTGGTTGGTTGACGAATTTTTCTCCCGAAAGTCTTCTCTGAGGGCATGGACCTGCATGGAGAGCTGTCTCTCGACTTCCGATGCCTGCAATAGAGGAGACCTTTTGAATTGATCCAGGTGGTGTGGAAAGGAAGTTGGTTAAGACTTCTGCCTTCCATTTCTCAAGCATCTCTCTCTGCTTTTCCTAGGAGTTCACGGTGAGATGCTAGTTTCCCACCTGGGACACATCCGCACCTCAGCTCTGCCTAGGTCTGAGGGCACTTCACTGACTGGAGGAACTAACAGTAAGCTCTCAAATGTTAGTTATTATTAGCATTATTCTGTACATAGCAGAAGCTCAGCAAATGTCTACAAATGTCTACTAGATTAAGACAAAGTCTCATTATTTTACATGAATAAATGAGTAAGATGGGTGGTCTAACCTCCTGCCTTAGGAACTCCTTTATTTCTCCCATTAATTTCCTCTGCTGCATTCAGACAAATCGTTTCTATCTTTATTTCTCACTTCTACTCAACATGAGCAATTCTGTCATGTCTGTTAAAAATTTTGACCATTTGTTTCTCAAGGACGTCTCTGCAATGTGTAACTCTCCAGGGAGGGCTGACTGAGGTGCTTCTTCTCCTCCCCATCTGTTTCTTCTCAAGTCCCACTTTGCACTCCAAGCCTCCTTCTGAGGGCCTACCCCAACCCTCCACAGGCAGCTCTGCATACAGAGCAAAGGGTCACAGGACAAGCTAAGAAACTGCTTCAGTGCTCTGAGGCCACACGGGCTCAGTAAGCTTTATGGGTTCTTGGAAGAAGATCACCATGTACTGGAATGGTTAGGGACAACTAACCATTAGGAGGTGGAGAGCGATAATGCTGAAATGGTTGGCTAGCTGTTTGATGAGGCTCTCTCCATAATGGTCACAAATGCTGTACTTTTTAAAATCTTCAAGTATTTTATAATCATCTGTCGTTTCTGGTTGTTGTTTATCCCACAGATTAAACAAATGCTGTCTAACTGCTTATGAATCTGAGCCACCTGCACCCCAAATGCCTGGCCCTTATAGTTTTGTTTTAAATAATAAATTACAAAGCACACAAAACAACAAAATAAAACCAAACCATCTTTTTTCCTTTATATTCTAAATTTAAATTCAGTCACCACTAGCTTGTTTCCTAATTATTTAAAAACATGTTAGCAGCCAGGTGCCAGTGGTTCTCACCTATAATCCTAGCTACTCAGGAGGCAGAAATCAGGAGGATTGTGATTGTGGTTCGAAGTCAGCCTGGGGAAATAGTTCTGTGAGACCCTAACTCAAAAAATCTTTCATAAAAATAGGGATGGTGGAGTGGCTCAAGGTAAAGGCCCTGAGATCAAGCCCCAGTACAGCAAAAAGAAAAAAAAAAAAACCCCAACAAAACAACAACAAAAACACATTAGCTGGGGGCTGGAGGTGTGGCTCAAGTAGTAGAGTGCCTGCCTAGCAAGCACAAGGTTCTGAGTTCAAACCTCAGTACTGCCAAAAAAAAAAAAAAAACAAACAAAAGAACAAACCCCAAAAATATGTTAGCTAGTTACTCTCACCCAAAAGTCAGCCATGGTGGCGCACACCTGTAATCCCAGCTATGAGGGAGGTGTAAGTAGGAAGAGCACTCGATCTGCTAGGCAGATGGTAGGACATCTGTCTAGCAAGTGTGAGGTCCTGAATTCAAACCCCAGGGTCACCAAAAAAAAAAAAATTACTGAGTGCTTAGTATGTGTCAAGAACTGTGCTAAATACTTCCAAAGCATTATTTCACTTGTCACCTCTAATTTACTAATGAGGAATATATGCAGGAGGTGAAGGAGCCTGCCCAAGATCTCAGTAAGTATTAACACCAGGAGGTAAACTCTGGGCTTCTCATTCTCAGACTGGAACTAAAATCCTGACTTGTGCTTTGAAACAGCTTCTTCTATTTCCATTGCTCACTACAGAAACCACAATTTACATGTTTTTTTTTGGTGGCAGTAGACTGACGTTTGAACTCAGGGTCTTGTGTTTGCTAGGCAGGTGTCTATCACTTAAGCCATGCCTCCAGTCCTCTTTCTTTTCTTCTTTTTAAATACTATGCAATTTTATTTAAGACTCTGCTCAAATTCTTTTTTTTTTTTATGAAATGGAGGGCCCATCAGGAAAATTCTCTCATATACTACAGTTTGACTGTTTATACTGAATTTGGTAGACTTGGAATTTCAAACATAGATTTGCAAAGCACTGGGTAACTCAGGTAGCTAATGTTATCTCTGGCTTCACCTCCTTGACATGAATCTCAAATCAACAAAGCCACAGAGATGCACTCGGTCTATACATGCAGCCCAGCTGGTATGAGAAATGCTCCTGGAGAGTGGCTCTTGGCAAAGTGATCTTCCTAGAAACAGAGCTTTGTCGTTTCTTACCAGGAAGTTTGACTCCAGAGCCCCAGCTCTTGACCACTAAGTTGTAATGTTTCCTTCCCACGTGTGACTCCTCAGATGAAGCCAGGGATATACAGCTTACTTTTAACCTACATTTCTCATTTGAGTCTCCAACAGCCTTCACAGGAGGAACCACGGGCCTCATTTTGCAGACAAGGAGGTAGCAATGCCTTGCTCTTTGGCCACATCACAGCCACTCCCAGGAAGGGGGCCAATCTTTTGTCTGTAAGTAAATTATTTTCCTTTTTTTCAGAGATGGAATCAATCTCTAGATTTGACTAACAGACTGAATATTAGCTATGGCTGCACATATAACCTCTTAAGTGTACATTTACTTGAATATTCTGGTGTATCAGGAAGCAGAAAGGAAGCATGAGCTCAAGAGTGAACTCTGAGTATCCCTGAGTTCTTTATGTGGGAGAGTGAACCAGGCAACAGCAGTCTCTGCAGGGCCCCACTGGTAAGAAAAAAGTGAACAGCCAAACAACCCAGGTTAGTACTCCTGTGTTGCCACGTGTGTGTAAATTAAACAAGCCATCTAACCTCTTTGAGTCTCTCTTTCCAAGATTATAAACTAATTCCTCCTTTACCTGTTAATTCAAAAGGGCAACTCTTAAGCGACACCCCATTTCCCCATTTCCAATTTAGGACAGAGCAGGGTTGAGCTCAGTCACTGAAGTTTAGAGTAATAAAGAAAAACTACACTGCCAGAAATTTTGGTCAGCTGTAGGAAATATTGAAAGATTTAAGGATCAACTGTTGTCCTTTTCTTTTTAAACAAAAGAAACTATAATAAAACCCATGTATTTAAAATGCTACCTTAAAAACTTACCTTTAAAATACATATATTTTAGCATCTTTCAATGTCAATATGTAGATCAACCTTACTCTTTTGTTATTAGCATATAATAGCTGTACAGAGGGATATACTGTGATATTTACATTATGCGCTTACAATGTATCTTAGCTAGATTTATCTCCTCCATTGTTCTTCTTCTTCCCCCATCCCAACCTTATTCTTTTTAACAGTTACCTAGTATTTAGTTATATGATTTTAATTTAACTAGTCTCTAATGATGAGCATTTACAGTTCTTCAATTTTTTTTCCATTGTAAACACTGTTGCAAAAACCACCTTTGTTCACCCATCTTTGTGCTTGTGGGAGAATTCCCGTAAGTGGATAAATTCCCATAAGAGTGGAATCACTAGGTAAAAGGACATGCATATTCATTTCCATGGGTTTTACAAAACTGTTCTCCAAAATACCTGCTGCATCAATTTATACTTCTGGCAGCAGCACAAATATGCCTACATCTCAGTAATGTGCCACCACACAGTATATTATAAAAATCTTTTAATCTGCTTATCTCTAATATCTTCAAAAAGTTATCTATCATTGCATACACAGTGGTTGATAAAAAAAAAAAGACATCTGAGAAATAGCTCTACTTCTGTCACAGAACTCTGAGTTTAACACTTATTGGGTTACTATTAAGAATTCTCTTGCCTGTGCCAGTGGCTTACACCTATGATCCTAGCTACTCAGGAGGCAGAGATCAGGAGGACTGTGGTTCTAAGCCAGTCCCAGACAAATAATTCAGGAGACTCTATCTTGAAAAATGCCATCTCTCTCTCTCTCTCTCTCTCTCTCTCTCTCTCTCTCTCTCTCTCTCTCTCACACACACACACACACACACACACACACACACACACACACACACACACACACACACAGAGACGGGCTGGTGGAGTAGCTCAAGTGATAAAAGCGCCTGCCTAGCAACCATAAGGCCCTGAGTTCAAGTCTCAGTACTGCCAAAAGAAAAAAAAATCCTCTTATTTCCACTTTGCAAATTTTTGTAACAAGGCTACATTATTTAGGTAAAAGAAATCCACATTTCTGATAATAGAATGTATCATTAAATAATTTCTACTCATGAAAAAAAAAGAATCCTCAAGTTGAGGAAACTAACAGTGTTTTCCTTCTCCCCGATTTGGTCGGAGAACCACCTACAACAGTTACTTCCTCCCCAATGAACAGATCTGTTCCATGATTAATTTTCTTATTGACACATTTAGTAATATATGAACATTTCTCATTTAGTTTAAAGTGGTTTGTTTAAACTGGCCAAAGCACAACTGTTAACTATATATTTTCTTGTTAAATGGAAGAAAGAAAATTGCATTAGTTATACATGAGCATTCATCCACTTATTTGTTAACATGGAAAAAACCCAGTCACTTAACTCAGAAATTCTCATAGGAAAGATGTACCCATTTGTACTCTGCCTGAGAGAGAATCTCCATCTGCCTTCTTTCAGGGCATGATCGACAACGGGCACCTTAGGGGTGGCAGTGAGTGATAATGAGGATGCTGATGACAGCTACTGCAATGATTCACATCTGAGCATCTATTATGTGCTCTATCCTGTTCTAAGTAGTCCACATTTACTATCTCATTTAATCTTCATACTAACACAAAGAAGTAGGAAGCTAGAGTTGGCCATTATTGCTGAGGAAACTGAGGCAAGTCCCATTTCCAAGGGCCCATTGGTATTAGGGTTTCCACCCAGATCTGCAGCCTCTATAGTAGTTGCTCAAACTTGAGACTGAGTGTCTAGTACCATGTACCTTTTCTCCACC